AACATGACGGTATTTACAGTCATATTTGTGTCATTACTCTCAAAATAGTTGCAGTACTAGACATTAACATTACAATATATGCTACGAGGCCGTTTGGAACCACTGTTTTTCGGCTTATCATGCTTATCAGCCAACTTTTTTCACCAAACACGTAACTTTTCCTTTCGCGCGCTGATTGTGTAATAAGCAGAAAAAGTAAAGTTGGGGTTACTTTTCTGGCTATATTGGCTGAAGTTACTGTAGATGACCATTTTAGCTATTTTTACATATAATTTTTTCTTTATTTTATTAATAAAATATATTTTTTAAATATTTTTTTCTTAAATCAGCAGAATCAACCAATGCAGCCACTTCAGCCAGAACTTCAGAAATTTCAGTAGAAACAATCAAACCAGCCGATTTTCGTGCTACCAAACGGGCTGTACAATTAATGACAATATTTTTCAATTATGGCAATAACATATTTTTCAATCATGAAATAACGACTCCTATTTTGAAAAGAGAAAAATAGTGCAGTCCTAATGTGGACTCCCAAATTCTGTTTACTCCTATATGGGCAATTTCCCGATTATGAGTTATTCTTTGATGTAGAACGTGACTTACTATTTGAATATAATCAAAACTCGTGAGAATGATCATACTTTCGTAATGTTCATAAAATTAATTTGAACTACGAATTATGTTCACAAGAACATATTGGGTGCGGACTCAAGAACATATTGGGTGCGGACTCAATCTAATGCTCGTTTAATACTTATAACTCCTACCCTCACAATATATACGTATTTCTATGTTTTTTTGTGGCAATTATGTTCACAAGAACATATTATTATGTTAAGACCAACATCCTTGAACTGAGATGAATTTCGAACTTGTGACATCCTCTTTGGAAGTGTCACAGACTCACAGTGATGTCATCAAACTACAAGGAACTTGCCACATATTTCTATGTTTTCAAGAGTCAACATTTTTTTCAATAAATTTTAACCACTTTTTAGTTTACACTACCGATTAAAACATGTATATATTGATCATCGTTTAATTCCCTATTTAACTAAGCCCAACACTAAAAAAAAATAAACCCAACATGGCTGCCCACTTTTGAAGAAAAAATTATACAAATATCGAATTGGCTGAATCGACTTAATTTGTCTAAATTTATGAAATTCTGATCAGAGTAATTGGATTAACTGATTCTACTGATTTATGATTTTTCCAAAAGAGTAGGCTTAAATTTATAGCACATCATTCAGATAGTAGGTAATCCGACAAAATGATTCATGACGGCCGCCATCTCTCGAACCAGACTCAGAGTTAATCACCTCGACTGAAGCAATATAACCCGCTGATCCATTAATGGGCACAACTGAGCCAATGACAAGTATCACGATTCTTCCATTACCCACATCCAAATCCACAGTCTAGCAGAAATAAAAACAACGAAAAACCACACAACAAAGCAGGATGTCATGAAAAAATAAAATAAAACTAATAATGTAAAACTCCTATCCAGTCTCCTGAGCACCATCATCCACATCCCTTCATCTTGGTCCTGAATGAAGTGGTTTAGGGGAGTTTACTGGTCAAAGCCCACCCCTCCCCGTTTTTGTTCCATCAAGTGCCATAGCATCCTCCCCAAGCTTGTCCTTCTCCTGGGCATCCCAAATGCGTCTTCTTTTTTGTTCTCCCGATGCCTCCTCATGAGTTTCAACCTCCACGCCTTTAGTTGTACTCTGTGTTGATTCTGATATAGACTTTTTCCTATCTCCTCCCACTCTATCATCAGATTTGCTCTCCTCTGTATTTATGCGATCCTTGCTAGAATTGGATGGCCCATCCACCGGCCATTTATTTCCTCCTGTTGGGCTAGTCTTCACCCCGCTACGTGCTCTAAGATAACCCCCAAAATTTTTCTCCAGAACTAGATCCTCTTCATAGGTTAGAGAGCAAAATTTATCTGAGTGCCCTATTAAACCGCAAACAAAAAAGAAATTGGGCAACTTTTCATACTTAAAGTCCACCCAATAGCTCATACCTCCTTTCTTAAGATTTGTACCTTTTTCAAACGCCCTTCCACATTCATACTCACCTGACCCTCATATAAGATTCCCACTTTTCACTATATTGCTTATCATCATACTCCCTCCGTCCTGCTGAGATTGTCCCATTTTACCTTTTCGGGAAGTCCCACTAAGATTGTCCCATACCAAATTTGGTAAAGATTGTGTGGCTCTAAACAATTCTTACTTTGTTCTTACTTTATCAATTTAATATCAACCACACAAACCCACATTTCTTAATAATCGTGCCACCTTCTTCCGTCCCAATCTTAGTGGGACGGAGGTAGTATCTGATAATGTTTTCAATAAAGTTACCAACCCTCCAGCAATGCCTAAACTCACTAAACTATAAGGAACATTATGAACTTGAACCCAAAACCCAGCCTCATTTAAACATATTTTATGTGGAATATCAACAGGCTTAACCTCTTTCAAAATCAGCAAATTACGCTCAAACTGCCAAGGACCTCCATCAAGCACACATTTCATATCAACAGGATGGTAAAAAGTAAATAGACACCTCTTATCGCCTACTTCTTTAATCGGAATACCTTTCTCCGACCTCCACAAAGATGCCATGAATTCTTAAGGTCGGAAATTTGACCTTCCGATTTGTCAGCAAAACTCCCACAACCGGAAGTCCCGTTCTATTCTCCTCAGCTTGGGTATCCTCAAGTTCAAATTCATCAAGATCAAGTTCTTCTTCCTCCGCGCCAATCGCCATTTTTTTGTACTGATCCACGATGTTTTCCATACACCCTTGCTTTCCCGGATAGCGAAACGATTCGCCGGTATGTGATTGATCCTCCGCCTGCTGCTCCGTCGTCTGTGTTTGCTCGTCCAAAAACCTCCATGAAGCTGCCGATCTGAAATCCAGCCTCCTTCAACAGCAGACGATTCAGCCTCCACGGTGCCCTCCTTCCAAAGCCTGTACGTAGCTGATGCATAGGTGGTCGGGAAATCCAAGCCCCGCTCCTCGACTAGGCTGATAGCGGACGATCGAAAACTAGCAGTTGGCTTGCGGCACCCTAGAGAGAAAGAGATTAGGGTTTACTGAAAAATTATATTTACAATATATTTTATCAAAAAAATAAAGAAAAAATTAAATAAAAGTAACTTAAAAGATCATACTCTCTCCGTAACAATTTTTTTCTCACTTTCATTTTTTCGTTGGTAACAGAAAAATCTTTCTATTTTCCATCGTACCCTCAATAATTCTAAAAATAATACTCTATTGCAACCATTTTTTGTAGGGGTGGGCACGGTCCGGTCCGGTCCAATATTTGGCCGAACCCGTACCCGTACCGTTACTATTGAAACGGTTCGGTACGGTTCGGTCTTAGACCCAAACCCGTTCGGTATGGTCCATTTTCAAACGGGACGGTACCATGCCATACCAATACCAAACAATGCCACTTTTTCCAGATGTTTAAGAAAAAATTAAAGTTTAGCTATCCTCCAAAAATCCACACAATTTATCAATTTTCATATATCATACTACCTTCGTTCCAAATTGATTTGCAAAGTCAATCTTTTTTTGGTCAAACAATTTCTTTTTATTCACTTAATTAGAATTTCACTTTTTAATTATATTCTAATTTGGCCTTTCAAAAAAACTACTCCGTACTTCGTATATTTTAATTTGGATTTTGCAACTTTAGAGAGATTTTAATGTGGTTTCTAAATATGTAAATTTTAATTATTAAAAATTGTATCAATTATCAAGAACTTAACATTAACTTTTGACAAAAAAATGTTGGCTTTGCAAATCATTTGGGACGGATGAGGTAATTAATATATTTTAGATAAACTATAGTAGTACAAATTTAATAAACCATACTTCGGTCCGGTTCAGTCCGGTACCGGTTCTCATTTTATGAGTACCGGTCATGACATTGTTTGGAACCGGTTCGGTCCGGTTCGGGAAAAAAAATTTTGAGATCCGTTTCAAACCCCATTTATCGGTCCGGTACCATACCGGTCCGGTTCGATATCATGCCGGTTCGATATTTTTGCCCACCCCTAATTTTTTGTTTTGCTATTCTTAATCGGAAATTGTCCTAAATAGGACTAATGAGTTCCTAAAAAGCACAAATAGGACTACTACTTTTAAAATTCCCTAAATAGGACTAAACATTGATTTTCTACCCTAAATACCCCTAAGAGTATTAATTCATAATGAAATGCTTTAATTCATAATAAAATCATAAAAAACGTAAAAAAATATTTTAAAAACGTAAAAAAATTATAAAAAATTTATAAAACATTTATAAAATAAAAAATTTAATTTTTTATTTTTTTATTTTTTTTAAAAAATAATAAAAAATAGAAAAACCCATAAAAAATGAAAAAAATTATGGATACCTTTCCCACCGCCTCCCGCCGCCTCCCAGCACCACCATCTCCGATTGGTGAAATTTCTTCCACTTTTGGTAAAAAAATGCCATATTTTTCTGAAAATGCCAAAAAGATGGCATAATTACTCTTCAATAAGCCAACATTTTCATTGAATATGCCATCATTATGGCATTATTTAAAATGTTGGCATATTTTTCTCCGGTGATGGGAGCTGGTGGTGCTAGGGGTGGCAGGGGTGGTAATGTTTTTTTTTTTTTTAATTTTATGATTTTATTTTTATTTTTTTTATTTTTTTTAAAAATATTTTTTTTATTTTTTTTAAAAAATATTTTTTTTATTTTTTTAAAAAATATTTTTATTAATTTTCTATTATTGTTTTTACGATTTTTAGTATTTTTTCTGATTTTTATTAATTTTTTTTATGATTTTATTATTAATTAAAACATTTCACAAATTATAAGAGTATATTTGTCCAAACACACATAAATAGTCCTATTAAGGGAATTTAAAAAATGTAATCCTATTTGTGCAATTTTGCCATTTTTAGTCCTATTTAGAGAATTGACTCATTCTAATCTACTTAGCTGCCTAAAAAGTTATCGAACCCCTCCTAATCAAGGATGAACGCATCTTCACCACCGACCACCTTCCCTCGTCCAGCTTCCAGCCCCTCATAGCTCCCGCCCATCCATCCCTGTCAACGGCGTAGTCCTCCACTGCGCGCCGTCCCGACGTCTGTCCCAGGCACTCCCAGCCCGCATTCCCGCCGCCTTCCTGGCGTAGGTCTCAAACTTCAATTTAGTAAGGTACGCTTGGCAGCTCATATTTTTAAAACTTCTAAGTGGCAAACTTCCATTGAAGTCTTCATTTTGAATTACCTATATACTTTTTGGCCATCCGCTGTCTCGATGTGATTTGATTTGTGAGTATTAATCACATTAGTAGTAATGTGATTTGTGATTATTTAATTCTACTTCTAGTATTATTCTCATATTTCCATTATTTGCAGTCATTATTCATTCCATGTATTTTACTCGGATGGAAACTCTTATTCATGTAAAACATCAGTGATACTCCCCCGTCCCAATAAATTCATCCTAGTTTGACTTGGCTCGCAAATTAAGAAAGTAGGAATAAAGGGGAAATGTATGTTTTTGTGTAATAAAAAGGTAAATGAATGTAAACCACACATTTTTTTCAAAATTGGAAGTTGGAAGATTTTTTGGGACGGCCCAAAAAGGAAAGTTGGAAGAATTTAATGGGACGAAGGGAGTATTTATTGTTGGGAAGGAAAAAACCTTTTGTACACGAAATACAGACATACACGTTTTTATGCTCTGTCTGTGAAGGCTATTTTTTTGTCTGTGAAAACACTATGCACAGACAAACTAGATGACTATGGTTTGTCTTCACGGACAAGACAAAAAAATAGTCTTCACAGACAGCGTAAAAACGTCTATGTCTGTATTTCATGTACAACAAGAATTGCTCTTATTTTTGTATTTTATGTTGTTGTTGCAATTGAAGGGAAAATTTGGGGCACTGGTTATGATGTTGCTCTGTGACCGAAAGGTCACGAGGTCAAGTCTTGGAACTTGGAAGCGGAAAGTTGCTCTTTATACACCCTTGTGGTGGGACTCTTCTCCAGCCAAGCAATGTGCATCAGCTGCCTTTTTTACTTTGTTGTTGCAATTACAATTATTTTATATATATTAAAATTTGGCCCCTTTTATAGCCTTCTTAGAGCCCGTTTGGTAACACAAAAATCGGCTGATTCGGCTGAAATTTATGAAGTTCTGGCTGAAGTGTCTGCATTGACTTATTCTGCTGATTTAAGAAAAAAAATTATTTTTAAAATATATTTTATTAATAAAATAAAGAAAAAAGTATATGTAAAAATAGCTAAAGTGGTCATCTAAAGTAACTTCAGCCAATACAACCCGAAAAGTAACTCCAACCCTACTTTTACTTATTATTACACATTGGGGTGGAAACAGGCCAGTTCAGGCTTTCGCCTTAATAGGTCGGGCCTTTTTTAGAATATATAGGCCTGAGCCTGGCCTGTTACCTGTTAAAGGCCTGTTTTTTCGGCCTGGGCCTGGCCTGTTTAAAAGCCTGGCCTGGCCTGGCCTGAAGCCTGTTTACCGGGCCTGTTAAGAAAAAAATCAAAATTTCCAAAAAAATGAAAAGTGAAAAATCTTTTTATCCCGGTATAAAATTTATCCCCCAAATATTCACTAAAAAGTCTAATAATACGTTATTTTTGCTTTGGGTGTCTAATAATACATTATTATGGAGTATTATTATGAAGTTTATAAATTTCTATATACTTTGAATCTTGAAAAACATTGAATTTCAATTACCTTAATAAACTATTAACACACTTTATGTATATTTAAAATAGTATTCTATTCTAATTTATAATACACACTCCCTTAAAATACTATTATACCGATTTTGCTATAGTTGAGTATACTAATATAAATATGAATATAAATAAATATAAATATAACTAAATACATACATACATACATACATACATACATACATATACACATATAAATAGGCCGGCCTGTTAAGGTAAAAAAGGCTTCAGAGTTGGGCTATTTAGATAAACGGGCTTTTTGAAAAGCCCAAGCCTAGTTTGATTACTAAACAGGTCAGGCCAGGCCAGGCCTTTAACAGGCCAGGCCACAGGCCCCTGACAGGCCGGCTGACCTATTTCCACCCCTAATTACACAATTCAGCGCACGAAGACAAAAGTTATGTGTTTGGTGAAAAAGTTGGCTGATAAGCCGAAAAACAGTATTACCAAACGACCTCTAGTCTTCTACCGGTGGTAAGTTCAGACTTTTTTTATTCAGACTTTGATGTTTGACATTGACTTAATGTGTTATGTGTATGCCAACGTGCCATTAATTTAATCATGGCTAATGAATTAATAAATTTTTGGATTAATTATTCAGATTTTGACTTAATGTGTTTGAAGACTAGTCATTTAAAATATAACAATGAATTTAATGACTAAACTGACCTTTTTAAATTTTTAATGTGTGTCCTTGATGTGATTAGTCTATTAAATTATATAGGAAACTTCAAAGAAATGTTTAACTTGTTAGAAAATTAAGTCAAATGTTACACTGCTGGCAGGAGGGCTGGCTTTAGAACTTTGGAGGCCCTAGACGAAAAAAATTTGGCGGCCGTTTGGTAACACTGTTTTTCGTCTTATTAGCCAACTTTTTCACAACACGTAACTTTGTTTTCGCGCGCTGAATTGTGTAATAATAAGAAAAAGTAAGACCGGAGTTACTTTTCTGACTGTATTGGCTGAAGTTACTGTAGATGACCATTTTAGCTATTTTTACATATAATTTTCTCATTATTTTATTAATAAAATATATTTTCAAGGTAATTTTTTCTTAAATCAGCCGAATCAGCCAATGCAGCCACTTCAGCCAAAACTTCTTAAATTTCAGCAGAATCAACCGATCAGCCGATTTTTGTGTTACCAAACGGGCTCTTAATATTCATAAATAATATTAATATGAATTCTATAACTAAAAAGTCAAAATTATGTATACTTTTTTTAGTTTGGTCTTCTATATTTTTTATCACGATCACCATTTAAACTCAAATATATCACTAATAATAAAATTGTCGTTATGATTATCTATAGTCTCATTCCATATTTAATTATTGCATTCTCATTTCCATCATTATTCTCATTCTCATGAACATCTATGTATATTGAAATTCTCAACAATATTTGAGGAGGGTTGGTCTCTCTTTACACAGTGATCCAAATTTGTTATTTTTTGCTTTTTAATCAAGACAATTTTATGAGCAAATCTCTTTTGAATTTATAATTTCATGTTGAATGTCCAAAATTGTATTGTTATTTTTCTATCATTACAATACATACATATTTATAGTTAACAGGAAAGCCATAAATAGATAAGCCCACAAAAAGTTAAAATTTACAAATACAATTATTAGGGAGAATCACAAATAAAATAAAATAACTACCTTACTATGATCACTAAAAGATACTACGTAGATAAATGTCTCTATTGGATGGCACTATCTAATAAACTAAAGCTAAAATTACTTATGCATTTACCAAATTAGTTGATTTGTCAATATAGAAAAGTGGAATAAGCAATATTAAGTTATTAACTCAATAATGTATATCCATTGATCTTTAGGGGGTGTTTGGATCTGATTCCTAAAACTGATTCTGCTCCCTAAAAGAGCAGAATCAGAAGCTGGAGTGTTTGGCTGAAAGTGTAGAAGTGATTCTGGTGCTCTAATTTATTCCTAGAATCAGTTTTTTAGAAGCTGGGGGTGACCAGCTTCTGAAAACTGATTCTGATTCTGCTTCTTCTTTAAAAAAGAAGTAGAATCAGAATCATTTCCAAACACCCCCTTAATCATAAGCCCAAGTGCCTAACAGCACTACGGCAGTAAATATCATTGATACGGGGTAGTTTATTATGTAGTATTATGTAAATTTTATTTAAGAGTAATTAATATTTAACCCAAGTAATCAAGTTGTCTTCAATTCGATGCGACCAAGACGTACTCCATCTCGCAATTGGAGTCCAGGAGCCGCATGCAAACCGTAATTTTCAATTACTAAAATCAAAACTTAAAAGCTTATATCATTATTGGTTCACTACTCCATATTTTTTGAGGCCCTTCCCCAACGTGAGGCCCTAGGCAATTGCCTGGGTCAACTCCCCTTATAGCCGGCACTGGTCTGCTGGTAAAGTACATGTACATTAGACGAACTTTTGTATTTTTATAGATGTATGTATTTATTTTTGTTAGGTGATTTATGTCTATATATCAAGTTTCTTATTCTTAATTCTAACAAGTAATGGTATTGTAAACTTACTTTTTGACGTTTGCAATAAATAAAATTGAATGTATGAATTTTCCACACTATCATGGCAATTTCAAAGTCTTGCAATTTTGGCACCCCTCGAAAAAATGCCTGGTTCCGCCACTCTTTTGAGCAACCACTATTAAAAAATGTGATCGTCCTATTGAATTTAATAATAAAAACAATAGTGATAATTAATAAATAATACTGGAGATAATAATATTAATCTTCCAATAGCAGCGTAGAGAATGAGCTAAATAATGACCTTTTATTGATTTAGAAATTTGTAAACCTACATAGATTTTCTTTTTTCATTTCAGTTAGTCGATTATATTCCTTGTGCTCATTTTAGTTCAGTTTTCAGTTCAATTTGTCTCATAGACTTTGTTTTGTGTTTGATTTTTGGTTAAAATATCAGTCATAGTGTTAACTTTTATATTTTAAATCGTGTGACCTAGCTATTAGGGCTAAGTGGTCCGAATCATACCTTTTTCGGTCCCTAAAAATAGTGCACTACTCCTAAGTAAACAGAATATAATTTCTGCTAAAAACATTTAAAGTTCAAACCATTTGAACACCGGGTCATCATCATTATCATTACCCTAGTGCCGCAAAGACTCCACCTACAGTAGGGTAAGGGGGGTCGAATGTACGCAGTCTTACCCCTGTACTAAAGCACAAAGAGACTGTTTCCGGTATTTGAACACCGGGTCACTGACTAATTTTATTTTCACTTGCACATTCAAGATTCTCAAAATTACATTAATGTCTACAATTTTGTTAATGAAGTTTAATATAATCTACCCATTTGAAGGAATGAATGCTAAGTTATTACTCCGTATTACTTTTGAACCACCCTTGGTTTGATATGTTTTGATATTAATTGGACTTTTCTATATTTGAACCGCTAATAGAATTGTGATAAAGTCTAGTATATTTCTCAATATTTGAAGGAATGAATAAGTCATTATACTATGGCATATGTAGACTGACTAATCGATAGATGCATACTTCATTGACAGAAATAAATGAGCAAGAGACCACCGCCAGACCCGGTTTCAGTTCTTAGGGGCCACCGTGCTTCAGTAACAGATGTCAGTTTTCATCCGTCGAAAAGCATATTGTTCACTGGGTACGGACTAGCTAATTTGTTCTGAGAGCTGTTCTTTGTATATATGTGTTTGTGGGATTGGAAATTACTTCGCCGTTTTATTTTATCTGTTTTTCAGGTCTGCTGATGGTGAATTGTTCATTTGGAATACTGTGAAGCATAGAGCAATATCATCTGCCTGGTAATGTTCTTCACTTCTTCTCCTATTCAGATCTCGCTTGTCGACAAATGTTTGGCAATACTGTTAGATGGTATCTTTGAAAGTTTGTGAGAACAAAGGGGTGAGGGTTAATGTGACTGACCTAGTGACTGAAGGTAGCAAAGACAAACTACAATACAATTTTATTCATTACATGTTTGGAGATATATTATCTTCCATCCTGACTTCTATCTTGGAGTATTTCAAAAAACTGAAGTTCGATCAAGTTCATGATTGCCACGCCACTAATAAAGCTGGATGGTATGCAGGGTATATAGTGCCCCCCATGGGATAACCTGCATTGCATCTAGTTCTCTCATCGGAGAAAACAAAGTTATCAGGTTAGCTGTTATGATTTTAATGCTTATTGATGAGTGATGCTTCCGGAAGTGCTGGACATTTTTCATAGTTTACTGCCTCTATTAATTTTCTTTTGGGATATTACTACTTTTTGCAGCCAAAGCAGGGATGGAACTGTAAAATGCTGGGAGTTTGGAGATGGAGGCTTGTCAAGGTACTTGGTTTTCAATAATGATCGAATATACACATCATGGAGTCTGCATGATCAGTTTGTGCATTCATTATTTCCTACCGTACTGATAGGTAACTAGCTAGTTTCACTGTGAATTCAAGAATCAAAGATAAAGAAATTGGCGTAACAACTGAAAGTGCAGTATAACAGAAAATAGAGAGAGAGAGAGAGAGAGAGAGAGAGAGAGAGAGAGAGAGAGAGAGAGAGAGAGAGAGAGAGAGATACAAAGGCAGTTAAAGAGTGCCAACTCTCCAAGTCCCAAGCCCAAATGATATTTCCAGCCTGCCTCTATTCTACTCTCAGCATCTATTTATACTAACTTTTCTAATATTATTATTATTCTCATTATTTTTATCAGTGCTAATCTGCCCATGTCCTATTATATTTCCCCCCTTAAGCAACCACCTTGTCCTCAAGGTGGGTGATAGGAATCAGCCTTGACCTTGACCTTCACCTTCATACTTGTGCCTCATCCTTCCCAATATCTCACTGAATTCTGAACCTGTAGTACCTGAACCTTCATTTTCATGTTCTTCACTGCACATAGGAGCAGAAACAAAGTCCTGGTGGCAGAATGCTCCCTGTGCTTACTTATGAACTCTTCAAATAAACCGTTAACCCATTGAAGAAGCACAACATCACCTATTGACTCTCCATCTTGTTTTGGACTTGATGCTCCGATTGGTTTTGCAAGAATCAATGATAGGTACTCATCAATTTCCATCTTAATCTACTTCAATTTACTGTCAAATTCCTGAGTAGCTATCAATCAAGCAAGTAAGCGACTTTATCAAATCCAGATTTTCTGAGGAATAATAAGCCAGAACTCAAGGAGACAAAGGATACTTAATTAATTCATCACCAGATCTTCCAGTAGGTTTGTTGAGAATCATCATGTAATCACAGTTTGTAGCCTTGATCCATTTACTAGCACTAATAGCCATATGAAACCAGCAGTCAAAACCTTCCCAATATCTCCCTGGCTGTTTATCAATTCTCAGCCATTTTTCCTCCTCGTTTTCATTGCTTGGACCATCACATTTTGATCTGTTTCTTTCCAGATCAACCTCTTCCCCGAGCTTGGTCGATGCCATTGAAACTCTTGAAATACCTTAATCGCCGTCCACTAGCACATAGCAGTATACACTCACATGGTATGCATTCTCGTCATGCCACTCCCCAGAGTTATTAGATGTAGCATTTCTTTTACGAAAACAGGACCAAGAACTCAGGCCAGAAGACAAAGCATTTGGATTCAGCCTCAAGTCAGCATGAGTAAAAATCTTCATCAGGTCGTCATGAGAAAGTGTTGTTGACACCAGTAGGTCCTGGTAGATAATCAACGAATAGCAATTCGTGTTCTCAACACCAGATTCCAACACCCAGATGCTTGAATGAACTTCAAGAACAACCTCTCTCCCAATAGTCAACATATTTAAGGAGCCAAAATCATTCAATCTTTGTTGCTGATGCTGGAGGCTGGAAGAATCAAGATAGAATTTAACAATTTCCATGCAAGTGCCACTCATACATAAAAGGGACCCAGCAGCTGAACTTCTAACTACAGAACAGGAAATTGTCAAAGCGGGATCATCTGACAAGAATAACATTTTCATGTGTGTGATCATCAAGAATGGGGAATAGAGTTTCTCATAGCAGTGGAAGGCAAGCACAATAGCCATATGAAGATAGTCCAAACCTACCCTTCCCTCTTGAACAGGTTTACCTACTACTGGTTCACTGGCATTCCTCTAACATTTTCACCTTCGTTTACTGCATCTGTGAAGAGACCAGAAATAAGATCATTGACAAGCATCAGAAACACGTCAGCGTTAACATCAGTAGCATAACCAACATTTTCTTAAAATTCCCAATAAATCGTACTCCCAACTCCTTTTGAATACACTTCATAGAAGTAACAACATCAAATTTGAAACAATCAATCTTATTCAGCCCTTCCAAACTAGTAATTGGTAAACAATGATCTGGTTTAAGTATTTCTGAACCTTCCATATAGTCTGATGAAAATCTCATATGTTGATTAACATCCTCTTCAGGGTCTGATTCCGTAACTGATGGGGCCACCGGGTTCAATTCTGTGTTCATTGTTGTTGGTAGGCCTGGGACTTAGAACCGTAAAACCGGGAAAACCGATCCGAACCGAACCGAATTTTCCGGTTCGGTTCGGTTCCTATGATTTTGGACTTGATCTTTTTTCGGTTCGGTTCCTATAGTATTTGATCCGTTCGGTTCCGGTTCGGTTACAGTTCGGTTCCGATTTGTAGATAGAAACCGAACTTCTTATACATTGCATGCATTATCTTCATTTGAGGTGCTTCTAGGTGTAATTTTTTGATGAAATTTTGTGAGCTTGTTTTTCATTAAGTGTAGATTATGTCCACCAATTGTGAGCTTAAAATTCAATCGGAAAGTCAGTTAAATAAATTATTGAAAAATACTATGTCAAAATATATGTAAAAACACAATGTTTTTCAATATTTTATTTAACTCACTTCCCGGTTGAATTTTAAGTTGTAATTTAGTGAGTATAATCTACACTTCAAGTAGAACATGCTCACAAAATATCATCAAAAAATTCTACTCGGAAGAACCTCAAATTGAGGTGGCCAAACGACGATTCGGGCAGAAAATTCTTGTCAGGAATATTTGTCTTGCATAATATACCTTATATATTGAGGACAAGGCAATCCGAGTATTTATTTTTTACTACGGAGTAGTTTATTACACTTTTTTTTGAGGAAATATATTTATTGTTTGTTTGTACTTTGTAATTGTATTTGTTATTTGAGTTCACCAAAAGGAATTAATATTCTGCTGATGACATTGTTATTTGTTCATAATAAATTACAAATATTACCAATCAGTTTATTACTATGTACTTTTTATTTATGGTGCATTATTAGTAGAACAATACTCCGTATTATTTTGGGGTTGAAACTACATGCTATTGGATTGTACTTTGGAGCTGTTAAACCTTTTTGCTTGACAATTCATGCCTGTTTTAATCTTGTGTGTTTTTGTTATGTTTAAATTGAATGTTTGCACTTGAATTTTTTGTGATATTTGAACATTGGGATATCAAGTATGTGTAATGTAATTGTCATAATTTCATGCTTTGAAATTTGAATTTTTTTATGTAACTGAAGGAAAAATGTGTTCATTTTAGTAGGATCATAAATTTTTATAAGGAACCGAAAAAAGGTAAGAACCGAACCGAATTTAATTAGAATCGAACTGAATTTAACAACTACATTTTTAACTAGAACCGAACCGAATTTAACGCCTATGAATTTTAATACGGTTCCATTGAATTTTAACAAGAACCGAACTGATCCCAGGCCTAGTTGTTGGTGAAGTCCCCTGGAATCCCTTTCCCGATGTGCCTAGGTCAAAGGTTCTTGAAACTGATGAATCTGGCGCAAGGTGAGGAACATCAAGCGACGATAAGCTGTGCGACGATGACCTGTGAGATATGGCGAGTGATGAAACCTGCGAAATGGGAGGAACTGTTCACATCTGCGAATTGGAAGGAACTGTTCGCAACTGCATACTGGGCGCGTCACGCGTGTGCTTGCGACGATGTTGACGTACTGCGAGAAGAAGTTTGCGACCAATCCTGCGAACTCAAATAAACGGTTCGCGACTGCGAACTGTGAGACGGAGTTCGCGACTTACCTTCGGTTTCAGACGATGTAGGACTCTCATGTACAGTGTGGCACCTTGAAGTTTTTGATTTTCTTCATTCATGTCGAGCGTTCTGCTGCAGGATTAATTCGTGCAATTCCACGATCTCTTTCCGCATTTCCTCGCGATGGTTCCATCTCTCCTCGCGTTGGTTCCACATCTCCTCACGATAATGTTCAAAATCGCGCTCCAGGATCTCCAGTCTACTTTCCATCTTTCTTCGCGTAGTAACCATTGACAAGTGGCAGGAATGACGCTCTGATACCAATGATAGGTAACTAGCTAATTTAACAGTGAATTCAAGAATCAAAGATAAAGAAAAGAGATTGGCATAATAACTGAATGTGTCGTATAACAGAAAATAGAGATAAATACAAAGGCAATTAAAGAGTGCCAACTCTCCAAGTCCCAAGCCCAGATGATATTTCCAGCCTGCCTCTATTCTACCCTCAGCATCTATTTATACCAACTCTTCCAATATTATTATGATTCTCATTATTAATATCAGTGCTAATCTGCCCGTGTCCTATCACGTACCTTGTTGCATTTAATGTTTTCCTGATATTGAACAAATAACTATGCATACTTAATGTCTATATAAGAACAAGTAAATAAAGAAGTACTAATAGCCTTAGGATGTGCTAAATAATACTCCGTAGCGAAACATCATCATCATTACCCTAGTGCCGCAAAGGCTCCCACCTACGGTGAGGTAGGGGGGGGGGGGAGTCGGACGTATGCAGTCTTACCCCTGTACCAAACCACACAGAGTCTGTTTAAGGATGACTCATAGTGAAATTCACATCGGAAATTGCATGGATTGACTGCTGCTTCATAACAAAGAAGCGCAAAAAGTTTAGTGAGCCATTTTGCTTTATTCCATCATATTCCCAAGTAAAAAATAGTGAGTCTTTGGCTCCATTGCAAATGATGGAAAATCCGTAGTGAAACAAAACAAGAATAAAATGTACATCAATGTCATGTCTCATAATTGCACATCTGAAACCCCTTTAAGCCATCGTATTAGCTAACATCACATATGCACAACTCACTAAAATGTTAAATTTATGTAAACACTGATTGCAACAAGGGACAGTTCCAAAACTCTTGTCTACCCAAATTCTTACTAAATGTCTCTCGTTAATGCTAACCCCAATTAGTAATAACTTCATTTAAATTACCTAAACCCGGTCTCACCAAACACATGCAAGTAGGGAGACATTCTTTATTCTATTTATTATTATTTTAATTTGGGGGGGGGGGGGAGCTGAGAAAGTAGTAATGTGAAATATTAAGTATGACAAAACATACTCCCTCTGTATCATTTTGGTTTTCTTGTGTTCTTTTTTGGGTTGTCCAAAAATCCGAAACTGAATGTCTTGTTTCGTTTTTTGGGTGGTCCATGTCATTTCACTTTATTCTACTCAAATCTCAACCACAACTTTTACAATTTCAATTACTTTAGCAATAATTGTGTCAAACTAAAGCAAGAGTACAAGATAACCAACATGTGACGGAGGTAGTATATTTGTAGGGTACAAGACATTAAAAGGGTACTAAAGTTCACAGAAATCCTTATTTGCAGGCAATTTCAGTTTTGAACTAATCTCATTTATTCAATTATACACACACATCTTGCTTATATTGTTGGATGCATGCCTAGTCGCCTACATTCCAACACTACAAGAAAACAAAATAAGTTTTTAGTCGTTATCACAATACAACAGAAACAACCACAACTGTGTTTTAATACCATATCACCGGATCGTATAGTCATGATTACAATGTGAAGGTAAAATGAGAAGCTACAATTTGAGCTGACCAGTTATCATTTCACCCGCCTACTGGATCAGTTGGCAAAATTAGTTATGTGCTATGACATATTGTACACTTTTTACATTGACTTGGGGCGCATAGCACCTAGAGATGGACTATGCCATTTTTTGCTATCTGTCTTCCCTTAAACTTGCTAGTTGTCTCCCGGGCAATCCTGCTTTGAATGATTTTGTGATGATGTTTCTATCAGCCATATATTTTAGATCATCTCAATTTAAGTTTTCATTCTCAACAGGACTCCTTTAGTTACATTAAATACAAGCTCTCACCACTTTTGTAAGCTTTCACTAGTAAAGAGGCCAAATGGAGCTCAATATATCAACAAAGACAGGGGGAGCATAGAAAATGTTGACAATAACAAGGGCATTGATGACGATAAAGTACATTCACAGGAAGTTGAAGGCTTGTTCTCTCTCTTCCCAGTTTTATATCTAACAGGCTACCCAGTTTTTATCTCTTGAAAATTCTCTCTTTTCTCTCCTTATCTCCAATCTCTATATGTTGCCAAATTACCTCACAGTGGCCGTGAAAGTAGTTCTCTATTTTAATTTGTGAATCGGGTGTACATGCCTGCAACTTCTGACTAGGCTTATTTGTGCCTTCAGATGTTGGGCATTTTGCAGGGCGCGGATACTTTGCCATACCAGAGCAATTATCACATAAGGTGGGCTTCATGCCTTCATGCCCCCCCACATAACTAGCACAACCATTTCTCTTAGGGTCTGCTTGACTAGAGGTTTTCTTGAGGGGATTGGAGAGCTTAGAGTATACTTCAATAGATATTTAGGATGCTATAAAAGTTAAAACATCAACATAATGTGGGTGATCACGTAACATTTCATTCATAATTCATCCGTTTCTATAAATATTTTACTTATCAAGACATATCATAATTCCTCCAATGCCCCCTCCCTCTATCCAAATACATCCTTAGGGACACGTTTACTTCACGGGTTACTAAACGGTGCTTATTAAGACCCGCGTTAATAAGTGGCGCATAAAATAAGCAATGTTGTAAGATCATGCTTACTTCAAAGGGTTTAAAACACCGTTTAACATTAAAATGTCCAAAATAACCCTATACATAAATAGACACACAAACATTCATGAACACAAGTATATAATATACTCCCTCCGTTCTCTAATAGATGGGAGTATAGCCTTTGGCACAAGATTTAAGAAGAAATTAATAGGGGTAGAATAAAGGGTGTAGTGAGTTGTGTGTAAAGGAAAAAGTAGGAAAGAGAATGAAAAAGTAGGAAAGAGAATGAGGGTAAATGGGTATATTTATTGAAAAAACTTACTAAAATGGAAATGGAGATAACTAATAAAGAACATCCCAAAATGGAAAGATGGACAAATTTTAGAGAACAGAGGGAGTAATATGTGGGGTCACCTCGTACGTGTACCCATAACCCCTGTACTCCGTACCCTACCCTACACCTTACCCCCAATTCCAACCCCTTAACCCATACCCCTAACCCTTACCACGACCTTACCCTCTACCCCTACTCCCCTACAACCCACCCAATACCCTAACAACTACCTTACTCGTACGGGTAAGGTCGATGTCGGGGTAGGGTCGAGGTAGGGTATCGGGTGTGGGCTTATGGTCGAGGGTATAGTTAGGGGGGTAATGGGTGTGATGGGGTGAGGTCGAGGTAGGGGGTAAAGGGGTCGGGGTAGGGTACGGGCGGGGTGGGCCTATGGTCGGAGGTGGGGCCAAGGTAAGGGAAAGTGGCAGGGGGTGGGGTAGGGTCGTGGTTAGGGGTAAGGGTGGGGTCGGGGTAAGGTAGGGTATGATAGGGCAGGGTGGGGGTAGGATGTCGGTAGGGAGGGGTTGGGATCGGGGTGGGGCCGAGGTAGGGGCAAGTGGTAGGGGGTGGGGTAGGGTCATGGTTAGGGGTAAGGGTGGAGTAATGGGTGGGTGGGGTCGGGATCAGGGTAGGGCCGAGGTGTGGTAGGGGGTAGGGTAGGGGTAATGGGTAAGAGGTATGAGGGTGGGGTAGGGGTGGGTCGGGGGTCGAAGTTGGGTCGAGGTGGTAGGGGGGTGGCGGTAGGGTGGGGTTGGGATCGGGGTGGGGCCGAGGTAGGGGCATGTGGTAGGGAGCAGGGTTGGGGTAAGGGGTAAGGTAGGGTGGGGGTCGGGGGTCAAAGTTGGGTCGAGGTGGTAGGGGGGTGGCGGTAGGGTGGGGTTGGGATCAGGGTGGGGCCGAGGTAGGGGCATGTGGTAGGGAGCAGGGTAGGGGGTAAGGTACGAGGATGGAGGTAGTGGATAGAAGGTAGCGGGTAAAGGGGGGTAACAATAGAGTCAGGGCAAAGGGTAAGGGTAAATTCGGAAACTGAAAAAGCTTAAAGTGCCACTTAATTAATACATGGGGGTGGTATGCTTAGTAAGCGGCACTTTAAGCACCTCTTTCGGTTAGTAAGCAGCTTTTTAAGCAGCGTGCGTGTTTACTTCACCTGTTTTACTGACTTTAGCAGCGAAGTAAACACCTCCTAGGTTTTCTATGATCGTGCTTATTCGTGCAACTAACCTGAATTCTATACCTTTGAAATGCAAAGGTTGAGATTTGGGATCTCAATACTGCAGAAAGATTTACAGCACTACCTCAGAGCTCTGGTGCTTCCAACCCACAGTCGAGAGGTTTGCATTCTATTTATCTTTTAGGTGTTAAACCTCTTCAATAACTTAGATCCCGCCTGTATTTTATGTCTATTATGCATAAAATACATTTGTTAGGTGCACATCTTTCCCGCGAGTCAAGACCCTATCTAGTACTCTATAATTGGAGCCCTATAGTTTGGCTGTGTGTTTCTTAAGCTTCTCATATTTAGACTATCTCATCTGAAACATGCTACATTTTTCCCGCCCAAATTGTTGCCCTATTGTGTTATATAGATAGATTGAAACAACCATCACACAACAAACAAACAACACTTTTATCACATTCTAATAAATGCAATGTTTTTATATATATTTCCTACCGGATGCATTTCAAAATGGTTTGAAGTATGACAATCCCTAGTTTTTGCTGTTCATAGGCCTGCTCGCCTATCAATGAAGAATTAAAGAGTTATATAAGATGCATTTTTCTTACAAAAAAAATATAGATAGATTCACCGCCCCTACATTTCCCCCCTTAAATAACGTGTCAAACGCCACTGTAGCAATCAAAATAGAATAAGGAGAAATTGGAAGAAGGTGTCCAAGTTCATAATTTAGTTTGGAATAAGTTCGTTTTCACCTTTCATGTTCTGCTCTCTTTTAAACATGTACTTCTTGACTAACAAAAGTTTGTCCAACAGGATTGTGCATGGCAGTTCAAGCATTTATATCTCCTGATTCTCAGGGTTTCCTTAATGTTTTATCTGGGTATGTTTCTTTTCTAGAAAATAATGCCTATGTTCAATTGACGCATAAAAGTTAAAACTTGTACTTCCTCCATCCTGTTGGAGTTTGCCAAGCTTGACTGGCACATGTAATACCAAAATAAAACTATGTGGCTGAGGTTCGTGTAGAGATGAGAGAGAAATAATAAGAACCACAATATAGTTACTTTAAAATGAGTGTCAAAGCTTTTTAGACACCCAAAACAAGGAAGTTTGGCATAGTCTAGTGGGAGGGAGGTAGTATTTAATGCTGAACTGGATCAAAGCAATTGCTCTATGTCTTTAGCTCTATTTAGTTGTGATAATCCACAATCAAGGACAGTTTTCTTACCAAATACACCTCTTTCCTTCCTATGATGCTATTACAGCTATGAGGATGGGTCCATGCTTTGGTGGGATTTGAGGAATCCTGGTGTCCCACTGACTACTATGAAGTTTCATTCTGAACCAGGTGCATATTGCTAGGGAACACATAGTATGCTGGCTATATACATTTATTAATTTTTAAAATCACATACTTGGTTGTAGTTTTAAGCATATCTATCGATGGATCGTGCAAAGGAGGGATTTCTGGAGCTGCCGATCAGAACATTGTGATGTTCACACTGGATCATTCAATGGTAATTCCAGCATTAATTCATTTTTTGTTATTGTTAAATTTTCGAAGATGGGTGGTGGGGGTGGGGTTATGTTTCATCAGATATTGCTGCTTTTAAGTAATTCTCATTATATCCTTTGTGGGAGTGCAATAGGGGACCTGTTTAGTCAAGAAGGAAATTGATTTGGAGCGACCAGGCATAGCTGGGTCCTCAATACGTCCAGACGGCAAAATCGCTGCAACTGCTGGTTGGGATCACCGGTATGACCCATTGAATCTCTGATATGGATGTGTGAACTAATCTGGATCATATTATACATAACTTTTACTTTATGTATGTGCTGCTATTAATCACGTCGTGTTGACAGAGTTAGGGTATACAATTATCGCAAAGGAAATGCTTTGGCTATACTGAAATATCATCATAGCTTGGTATAGCATTCCAATGTCCCTCCCCTCTGATGAACACAATGTTCTCCTTTTCGTGCTTCTTTTTTCCCTGATATAATATAGATTTTTTTTTGTAGTGCACAGCTGTTTCGTTCTCACCTGACAGTAAACTAATGGCCTCTTCTTCAGAAGATACAACTGTAGCGTTGTGGGAACTTTATCAACCAGGAACGTGATTTGGATCTACTCCCAAGTATCCTGCACGTGTATTTAATTGTAAATAAATTGTGGACAAATGCTGCAAGTTGGATTATTTCGTAATAATGATTTGTTTCTTGATAGATAAAAAAGGATTTTCATACGTAGAGTTGATAGAACTATTCAAAGTATTAAGAAATTTACAGAAAAAGATCAAGAAATTCAAGAAACTTAACAAAGCTTTATTAATGGAGAATTGTTCCTGGCTGAAGCCCCCAAAGAGAGAGATGATTAATCTCAAACTTCCCAGTCCAGGCTAAAAAGTCAAACCGCCTCCTTACTTACTCCCCTTTCCGTCTATTTATACTACACTCGTTGATATTATTAACCTAATGGGCCCTATTCCTATCATTATTAGCCTAATGTGCCCTATTCCTATCAATACTCCGGTACTCCCCCCTAAACATCCACCTTGCCCTCAAGGTGGGTGATAGGAAACAACTAAGATCTTCTGCTTCCTCTTCATCCTTGTGCCTCTCTCTTCCCGATATTGGACTGATTGCTGGACCTTTAGCTTCATTAGTCATTACTTCCATTTTCTTCCACATGTACTTCACAACCGAAATACACAGATCACTTTTGTTGTAACCTTGCCTTTTCTTCCAACATCTTTTCCAGGAACTTGCTTCTTTCAGATTCTGTGGAGGATAAGGCGCAGACTGTTGCAACACCAAAAACAGCAACTACTTGCTTTTGAACAATTTCTGGTTTTAAAGATGAATCCACAGGGTACTCTATTTTGTAGACATTAAGTGTAGCAACTTGAATATTAGAGTCCAGATTCACATTGATTTCACCCAATTGAAATTCCTAAATGAAGTCAACAATATCATCGTGATTCTTAAAATTGACAACAGCACCGAACTCATTTATTTCATGGACTTTTTTCTCTACAATGCTACCAAGAGCAAATTGATTTGTCCATTTCAATCCAAAATCTGAGGAGTTCCAAGATAGGTTAGATAGCAGCCTGACAATTGTGTGTTTAGAAAGGAAGCATTCTTGGCTAAATGAAACATCAGTTGAAAGGTATAATGATTGTTCAAAGGTATCGATTCTCGGATTCCCCTGTCATCTGTAGCCTTGCTTTGAGAGGAATTCCATTCAAATGCCCCTAAATAGAGAACAGAGACATCACTCCCTATTCTGTTATGAATATATCCCTCTTCGAGGTTTGACCTTTGAATGATTGAAGACTGATCCTTCAATTTTACTAATCTCTAGATCATTCTTTCACAATTTCTTTGTTAAGGCACCCCGGAGTAACACCACAAATTCACGTTCTTGAACTCTACCCAACAAAGATTTAAAATATTCTGGGTTTCTTACCATTACAAGATCATACCTCTGACCATGACCATCATTGGTTTCTAAATCTTCAGGATTATCTGTTGGAAATTCCGTGGTTTGAGCAATGTCATATTCTGGATTCGGCTCGAAAATTAAAGGTGCATATGTCTTCGACTAGGCCTTCTTCAGTGTTGTCAATGGCGATCCATTAATTGATTCCATGAGGTCTATAGCTTGCGCAGGGTAAGAGTCTATGTATTTCATTGTCATGGCTGAGATTTGCGCCTGGTGAGTATAGACTTGCGGCGAATCCTGTGGACCAGTGGACTCGGATATCGTCCGCGAACTAGAAGAAGCTACTTGCGATGCCAAACTGTAAGGAGAAACAGTAGTTCGCGTAGAAGATTTCGAACTGTGATAAGATCTTCGCGACCTCGAAGATTCTTGGCTTTCTGTCTTCTGCCGGTGTCAAGGTGGGAAACGCCTAATCGCTGCTTCCTTTAGAGCCTTCCAACTATTTTCTCTCGTTTGAAATTCCAACCATTGAAACCAATCAAACAACCTTTCCTCCATAGCCTTTGTTGCGACTTCAACCTTATATTTTTCCGCAGTAGCTTTGAGTCGGAAGTATCGTTCCATCAAAACTAATAAATATCCCAATATAATTACCCACTTTTCTAGCAGTGCCTACATTCATAAATTTATGCGGAACATTGTGCACTTGCACAAAAAATTTTGCTTCAAACAAATTCAACTTATGAGAGATATCATTAGGACCAACCACCTATAGCAATAACAAATTCCTCATAAACAGTCAAGGACCATCCTCCATAACACGATTCATATCAACTATATGGTAAAAGGTGAATAAATACCTCTTGTCATCAATTTCTTATTCCTTTGTCTGGCCTCCAGATTGAGGCAAATAGGTCCTGCACAGCCTGAACTCTCACCTTCCGATCCATGAGAATTACGCCCACCACCGGGTATTCCGCCCCTTTTGCAGCAGGATCAAGAACCTCTTCCTCCTCATCATCAAAATTGAGATGGTTGTTATTCTATTCCAAAGCCGTCCTTTTGTATTGTTCCAGCACCTCCTCCATAAATTAGAGAAAAAACCTTGCTGCCTCCGTCCTAACTGTTGGAACTCCGCTCGACCCCGTCACCGATCAAAGCCAAATCTCCGTCCAGACCCTTCGATCGCCACCAAGCAACAACCAATCTCACCCCAACAAAACCAAATCTCCGTCCTCGTCCCTGCCTTGTCGCTACGGCTGAGAGGCGAAGAGGATCGGGAAGAAAAAAACTACATTAGGCGGCCGAAACCGAACCCTAGAGAGACACACGATATTCCTCAAAAATTGGGATCCTAAGTTAACAAATGCTAAACTTAAATTTGTAAACTTTTGTCCGAGACAAGTTTAATTTTCTTACAATTATAGCTTAATTTTAGCATAACAAACTTCCAATCGATATCGGAGGCATTGAGATGTATTTTTTTTTAATTACACGCCCCTGTTTGAAAAAACAATTTTTATGTTTCTAAATCTTGTACGTAAAAGGACCTTTGTTAGCAAAAGTTAGAAAGTCCAATGAGAAGATTGTTTGCTAGTTTTCACCTTTTCCTATCGAAAGATTGTGTCAGAACAAATATTAGGGAAATTCTATTTGCAGCCATCTTTTTACTAAATACAATCACATATTTTTCATAAATCCTATTATGCCCTTAATAATACTCAACTTAATATAGGCTGTCATGTCTGTGTAGTCCATTCCGTCAAGTCAAAAGTTTAGACCTTCTATTCGATCTCTCTGCTTCTTCTTCCTTTGTGATTTCCCTCATCGGATCTTTCTTGTATATTTTAATAACCTTCTCTGTTATATCATTAGCATATGCCCTCACCTTCGGACCAGGTGTCGTATCCTTAAACCGGTCATCCTTTACGGAGATGGAACTCGGTCTAGTCTCCCGCATTCAAGATATTCCTCCCCGGATTTGTTAAACCCTAAATTGTGAATAAATAGTTTGACTTAGGGATGGACTGTGACGGGTCGACCTGACCCGGGCTTGGACTGACCCGGGCCCGGTACTATTTAGGCCCGACCCGCTAATGTATAGGCTCGGTCCCAACCCGGTGGCTATAAGGGCGGGCTCTGGGCTCGTTTTTTCAGCCCGACCCGATTGCACTATTTTTTTAAATTTATTGCCCAGTCCTGTCCCGGAGTCCGGCCTGAACCGGTGCTGTCTGGGCCCGGCCTGATCCCGTACAAACCTGGATCGGTACCGGGGCTGAAATTTTTAGGACCGAGCCCGCCCAGTCCCAGCTCGGAGTCGGGCCCGCCCCGGTCTCGGTCCATCCCTAGTTTGACTACTAAACAAATAATGAAAGCAAATCATACAACAGTAAGGGTAAACAGAGATGGAGAGACCTATAAACACTAACAAAATCGTTCTCATGAACATTATTGGTTTGATTGGGTTAATTTAATTTTTTTTTGGATGGCCACACTAGTAAACACAAATCCAGTTAAAAGAAATTACTCTAAATATGAGTGGAACAATATAAAAAAAATTAAATTGAAGACGACACATTTTAAATTCTCAAAATACAAGTTAAAATTACTCATTCTGGCCTCTACCCATGAAATCATCCCCTTCTCTTTATCCCTTCTTCCATAGTTTTTCATCTTTGAGATACCCCCCCCCCCCCCCCCCCCGCCCGCTTTGCCTCTTTTGATAGGAATACCCAGCGTACGAAGTGAAATGAATGAAAGACATGGTGTTCACTGGTGACATGCTATATGTTGCTTGCGAAGGATAATCAACATTTGCCCATTTGACAACACCAACCTCAACTTTCCTCCTTGCCATCCTCCTTTCATTTGTAATTCAAAAGAATACAATTAGTTTTTTCAGTCAATCTATATGGCATTTTTTCGCCGATCAAAATTACTTTTTTATAGGTCAAAAGACATCATTGTTTGATGATAACTATTTTGGTTTGACTATGCACAATATGATTTGGTGATGTCATTATAACTTCATAATGTCATAATGATAACATTACTCTCGAGTCTCGTTTTTTTATTTGTTTTTGTTTTACATTTTGTAAGCTCCTTTCAGTACATTGTAAAATCTACACCGAATTAAGTTGATCACTTCTTTTTCTAAATTGTGTTTAAGCTCAGGAATTAATATATTTTTACTTGACTAAAATTGATTGGTCTGCTCAGGCCTGTTTAAGTCTGTCTGGTCTGATCTGATAAATGTTTGGTCTCTGTTTATTTTATAACTATGGAAGTTTCGTCTGGTCTGTTTAAGTCTGGTGTGGTCTGGAATTGAAAACGATCCAAGTAAAAAGTCTTTAATTAATAAACTTAATCACAAAGATTTTTGGTCTGACCTGGTTTGGGATGTTTTGATCCTTTTGGTACAAAATCGATTTTAAGTCTTCCCAACATAGTCTCGACTTTTGTCATAATCTCACTATGTCAGTTGGTGTTGTGGATTTTGTTCTCATAGTCTCGACATTGGCAAAATATAGGGTGTACCAACACCAACATGGTTGTCTGTGTACAAATGTTAAATAATAAGGAAGCTCTCCAACTTGATGAGATAAATGCACCTCCTGAACACACCACTGCTGAACATACTTTTGTCATTGCTGCTCTGGAAATTCTGAAGATATGCAACAATTTGAATTTCAGGAAAATAATATTCTTATTTCCACTTTTGTTCCCTTTACCTGGAATCTTCAAACCTTGAAGAGTCGCTAAAGGAATTATCTTATCCTTGTGTGAGTCGATGATAACAAGGGGCCACTGCAACACATAATGATACACATGATCAATAGTTGAAGAGAAAGACATGATTTTTTTATCGATTTTCTCAAATCCCATAACATAACCTTTCCATCATAAGATGCAGAAACCAAGAGATACCACGATTTGTCATGCCATTTACAGACATAAATCCAGAAACTGTATGATGACAACATGAAGATTGGGGCCAATGAATCTAATCCAAAAAAGAAAGAAATAAATGCAAGTTAGAAACATCTTGTAAACTGCTTACTTAAAGCCATGTTTGGATACCCAAAAAATGTCAGGGAGAACAAGATAAGTTCACGGAAAAAATGTTTCATGTTTGTCATTGCCAAGGAATTGTGAAGAAAAACGAAATTTGGTTAAATCTTTTCAAATCTTAACCTTCATATACTAAAAATGAGTTTGAACAACTATCTATCATTGCCAGGGGAAATGTGAAGAAAAATAAAAATTTAATTAGAACTTTTAAATCTCAACCCTCATGTGCTGAAAATGAGTTTGATCAATTATCCAATATTGATTTATCAAAATTTGAGCCAATTTCTTATTTAACCTAAATTTCTTTCCTTCCTGGCTTCCTTAACATTCTTTGGGTTCCATAGTGACCTAATTTACCAAATAATATGCTCTTTCATGAGTGGTGATTGCATATAAACACACCTTGTTTCTAAAGATCCCATATCCTTTAAATAGGATCGGAACATCCAACTGCAATAAGTGAAGACCTTTCACCTCCAACATCAAGAAAGTTAAACGCTCTACCAAAAGACTACAAAGAGTAGAACATGGTTACTACAATCTGATGAATCTGCAATCATAATTATATAATATATATATGTGCACTGGAAGTAAACTGAATTCCAGTATGAGTCAACATTAAAGAGTAGAATGGTTTGGCTTGAACTGCCCTACATCCGCAATCGAACACATAACTTATGATTTTGCATGTTGAATTATACACACATCTTCCTACAAAACTTGACCAACTTTGACATGCAGGTAGAAGACAAAGTAAAACGTGTAGGGTTGAGATTAATTTATGGAGTGGAGATAAAAATTACTTTTTTTTCTCCATGGTGGTCTGGGGGAGGGGTTCTGGGGCCCTGGAGTAATCAGGGCTGAAACCCACCTCATTGAGTTTCGAACCCTTATGTGCCTAGCGGGTTTCGAATTCGAGACCTCTCACTAGGCACGGTAACCTCACAACCAGCTGGACTGGAATGCTTGGTTGTGGAGATAAAATTACTTTAATCATATATTTGCTACTTTAAATGAAAATGATAAAGTTTTTGGGACAGCTAAAAAAGAAAATTTGACTAAGTTTTGTGGGACGGAGGAATTATACGCCCTCGCCCATAAAATTCTTTCCATTTACCATTTTGGGATGTTCAAAAAAAATCTTCACATTTCCTTTTTTGGGAAGTTTTGTGTGACTAACATTCATTTACCTTTTTTACTCAATCACAATCTTACATTTCCACTTTCTTAATCTCTGATACAAGTCATAATGAGAAGAATTTTATGACACTGAGGGAGTAATAATCAACATAAGTGAGTTTTAAGTTATTTTTTGATTGAATTGGCTGAATCATTGTGCAAGATCATTGTAGCTGTTTTCCATTAGATTTTATCTGTATTTACCCTAAAAAAATTAAATATAATATTTCCGCAAATTAGCAAATTAGTGAAGTCGGACGCGATCAGCTAGGATTTCATCAATTTCAATTGATTCAATCAATTTAATAATTTTCAATGTACAAACAACAAGTACTAAAATATACTCCCCCTATTCATTAAAATTTGACCAAGTTTGACCGGCATGAGGAATAATAAACAAAAAATCGTGTGATTGTAGCTTGTGAAAATGAGAGCATTAACGGGAACCACAAGTTTTTTTTAATTAAATGAGGAAATGAAAAATTAGTGAAACAACTAAAAAGGAAAGTTGACAATTTCTTAAAGAACTGTGAGTACAATTTATCTACCAGATTAAGAGCCCGTTTGATGATCATTTTTCGGCTTATCGACTTTATCAGTCATTTTTTCATCAAACAAGGAAATTTTAATTTTCTACACTAAGTTGTGTAATAATTAAGATAAGAAATGTTACCGTTACTTTTGTGGTTGAATGGAGTGAAGTTAGTTTTTCTATATATATTTTTATTTAATTAATATCCGTAACATATATTTTAAATATAACTTTTGAAAATTCAGAAAAATCAACAAATACAATTCATTCAGTTAGAAATTCATAAATTTTAAAAAAAATAGACGTTTCAACCAATTTGGTGCCATCAAACCATCTCTAAATGATTTAAAAATATTGGCCCAAAGTGTTTGATCCGGTCCAATTAGAAATCACATGCCCATCTCAGCCGGAAGATCGTACGCTATATTGCTCTCTCCATTTCAGCTCCCTTAGGTCGGACTCAGTCTACACCAGGCAGTTCGTCTAGTATCCTGAGGTTAGTTGATTATTAGAAAAACCCTACACCCTAAGCTCCACTTCCTCATCACTTCTTCCTTCTCTACTCTCCAAACAGTGCTCAGTGTGAGATTCCATTGGTTGATCACTAAAATCAGCAGCAAGGATGTCTTCTATGCTCGTAAGCATTCTTTCTTTCTCCTGCTCCTTTCCTATCTGACGCCACGTTTATCAATTCATGTTCGTTGATTTTATTCTTCTAAGTTACTAATACAATAAGCAAGACGAAAGTAGGAACCAGAGAATCAGGAATTCGGGATTGTAACCGAAATGTTGTTCTGCACCTTCTAAGTTTTAAAAAGTTTACATGGAAATGCGATGAACGTAAAAAACCAGAAATTATTTGCAAATGTAATTGTCATCAGCCCTATTTGAGCTCATTTTTGTGAAATGCTATTTCTTTAGATAAATGATGCTGGGTGGAAACCTATTATTACTCACTAAACAGATGTAGTGAACGCGTTTGAGTATTTTACCCATAGGGTTTGTTTAGTCATGCATTGTTCTTTAACTTGGCTGTGATCACTCTACAGCAACCACAAATTATATTGCTCAAGGAAGGGACTGATACTTCTCAAGGGAAGGCACAATTAGTAAGCAACATAAATGCATGTACGGCTGTGGCCGATGTAGTGAGAACTACCCTTGGCCCTAGGGGTATGGACAAGTTGATCCATGATGATAAAGGAAATACCACCATCTCAAATGATGGTGCTACTATAATGAAGCTTCTTGATATTGTTCACCCTGCTGCAAAAATACTTGTTGACATTGCCAAATCTCAGGATTCTGAGGTATTATATGATCTCATTCTTTGTTCTCATCTTTAGTGCAATAGTGCTGCTATTTGTCTATTTTGAAAAGACAACTCAAAGTTGGCAGGTGGTCTAATAGTAAGCATACATATTCGTTTTTCAAAAAGGGAAGTGGCAACCTTGATCTTCAACCATAATGTTAATTATAGCTTCATGCAGAGGTCTTAGTTTTAGGAAAATTGTGATAGTTTTGGGCAAATAGTAAAGAAAGTTAGGACTGGCACTTACTGTGAAACGACGAATCATTCTAAAAGTGTATAAAAATAAAGCTGTACACTTCTATGCCTGTACAGAATGGTTATGTGTTTTTTGTGCACTTCATATGCTATAGCAATAAAAATTCTCATTAGTCGTCAATTTTCCAAATGAATTTGACAGAGCATTGGGAGGGTTCTTAGTAGAGAATACTATGTGCTAAATACACATCTCTGATATGAATCTTAAGTAGTCACGAGACAATTTATTGGTAGTTTACCTGTAGCCATGACGTGCATTCTTTGTATCCATTGGAGCACTGGTTTTTAAAAACATCACATACAGCACAAGGGACACACATTCCATTTCTGAAACATTCAAAGAGTTGCAGTCTATGCCCTTCCCGATCAATTCTTTTTCTGTATGTTAGCAGTGTATCGTTGCTCAGAGTCCTGGCCTTCACATGTGACTGCAGTACAAGTGTTTCTTTTGTTTTATTATTTTACTGAATTTTTCTGTTTTTGAAGGTTGGGGATGGAACAACTACGGTTGTATTGCTTGCTGGAGAATTTCTGAAGGAAGCCAAGCCTTTCATTGAAGATGGAGTTCACCCTCAAAATCTGATACGTAGTTACAGAACTGCTTGCAATTTGGTAGGTGATTTTGCTCAGTCTCTTAATGTGTCGGTAGAAGGATGTCATTGATAACACGCCGTAGGGGCAGAACCACCCTTTATTAAGGTGGGGCCTTGGCTCCCTTCACACTCATAGTAATTTCTACATAAAATTTATATAGTTATTTAGTTAATACACAGACAAATATATCGTGACATTTTACTAAATATTCCCTCCGTCCCTTAAATCTTTGCCATTTTTCCTTTTTGGGACGTCCCAAAAATCTTTGCCATTTTACCTTTTAATCAATTATTTTGTGGTTCCTGTTATTTCTCTCTCCTCTGCACAAACCTCAACCACACAGTTTTTACTTTATTATTCTCCGTGCCGGTCAAACTTGGCAACGTTTTAAGGGACGGAGGTAGTATCATAAATGTAATTACATGTTGAATATGATTGTTAATAAAAACAATTATAGACTTTAATGGGCTTTAAATTATATCACTACCTCTGCCCCCCTAAGATTGGGACAAATGAGTGTGGTGCGGTTTTTAAGAAAAGTAGAGTTATATGGTTGATAATGTGAGAATAACGTAAGAATGAATTAAGTGAGAATAAATTAAGAGTGAATTAGAGCCACACAAATATTAGAGTTATGTGGTTGATAAAGTGAGAATAAAGTAAGAATGAATTGGAAGTGAGAATAAAGTAGAGTTATGTGGTTGATAAAGTGAGAATAAAGTAAGAATGAATTAGAGCCACACAAATATTACCAAATATGGTACGAGACATATTTAGTGGGACGGACGAAAAAGGAAAAATGAGACAATTATAGTGGGACGGAGGGAGTAATATGTTTTCTAGTAAAAATATGGCTAAATTTAGTAATTTAACATTACTGACTTCTCTCGTTTAGATTAATCTGAATCAGAATTGCACACTATATTGTTTTGGCATCTATTTGTCAGTAAAAGTTTAAGTTAAAATGACTTTTTCATACATAAAAAAGGTGTTTTGTCATCTAATATTTCAATTTTAACTGTATTTTTTTAAATTCAATCGTGGACACATGCAATTTATAATGAGTGTTTGGTTCGATAGTAGTAGTTAGGGGGTGTTTGGATCTGATTCTTAAAACTGCTTCTGCTTCTTCAGGGAGCAAAAGCGGAAGTTGGAGTGTTTGGGTGAAAGTGAAGTGATTCCGGTGCTCTAATTTACTCCTAGAATCAGTTTTTCTAGAAGCTGGTGGAGACCAGCTTCTGAAAATTGATTCTGATTCTGCTTCTGCTTTAAAAAAGAAGCATAAGCAGAATCAGTTCCAAACACCCCCTTAGTTATACTTTTAGTTACATGAGTGGTTAGTTAAATCTTTCTCATTGATCCATCCTGTTTTTTTAAGCATGTGGAATAATTAATGTTACCATAACTGGGTAATGAGTATGTTAATCGTGATTGCTTTAATCAAATTTTTCAATTTAAAAGTTCAACACGATTGGTTTCCGTTACTCTATTAAACTGTTGTAATGAGTTTCTAGAATGCATACTTTACTCCCCCCACTCACTAATCCTGGATCCGCTCCCATGTCATATATATTTCTAATTTCTTTTGGGTGACGTTAGGCTACTGAGAAAGTAAAAGAGTTGGCTACTAGCATAGAGGGAAAGAGTATGGATGAGAAGAAAATTTTGCTAGCTAAATGTGCTGCTACAACATTGTCATCAAAACTCATTGGCGGGGAAAAAGAGTTTTTTGCATCCATGGTTGTTGATGCTGTTGTTGCAATCGGAAATGAAGACAGGCTGAATATGATTGGAATAAAAAAGGTATAAAATAAATTTGGGTCGTACAAGATTCAGTTAATTCTGGATTTGCGCATTAAAGTGCTTTGATTTTGTTTTCTTAATTGGCAGAGGTATTTTGGCCAGTACAGTTATATAGTGCGTTTGTGTTGGATTGACACTCATCTTCATAAGTGGATGTATTCTTACACATACTTATTTAAAATAAAACCTGTAGGTTCCTGGGGGTACAATGCGGGATTCGTTCCTTGTAAATGGTGTCGCATTCAAGAAGACATTTTCCTATGCTGGTTTTGAACAACAGCCTAAGAAATTTGTAAATCCCAAAATACTTTTACTCAACATAGAGCTGGAGCTGAAATCAGAGAAAGAAAACGCCGAGATAAGGTATGAAGTATGATATTTTTGATCATGTGTTTTTCCGAAAAATTTATGCCACGTCTCTTAACATTTTTCACAAGTCACATGATTGAAAAATGAACCGCTGACATAATTTATGTGCATAACAGGCTTTCAGATCCATCGCAGTATCAATCAATTGTTGATGCAGAATGGAATATCATTTATGACAAGTTGGATAAATGTGTCAAGAGTGGGGCTAAAGTGGTTTTGTCTAGACTTGCTATTGGTGATCTGGCAACACAGGTTGGTGAATCAACACTCTTCATTCCTTGGTCTTAGCTGCTGTGCCTTTACTGCTCTCCCTAATCTTCTACTAACCCATTTATCCATCAACTGAGTCCTGAAATTCTCACCAGTCACTCTTTAAATTTCTAATTTCTATTTCTTTTCTTGTGTTGTTGGAATATCTGCTTTAAAAAAACACTGCCTCTCGATTTAGAGTAAATTCAATAAGATAATCAAGGGACCTTTTATTGGAATCACTGGTTCCAGCCATCCAAGAAAGGTTAAGTGTGTCTAAGGAAACCGATCTATTGTTTTATACATCTGCATGGAAGGGGAGTGCAATTGTAATATTTTATAAACGATGTACACATCTGAAACTCCAAAATCTTTTGGGATTAAGGCTTGGATGTTGTTGATGTACACTTCTGAAAAAAGATTTGAAGTTAAAGTCACTAAGCATATCGTCAAATATCAAAATTGCATTTTTAATTAATCGTAAAGAGGCAATGTGCTTTTCATATTTAAACACTGAGTTATAAGGCAGGTTTGGTTTTCAGAGAGGCACGTGGTCTACAATTTTCACAAATCAAAGCAAATGTGCTTTTGGCTACTCTTTTCATTCATTCATAATTTTCCATGCTAATGTCTTTCTAAAAGGCATCCTTTTCCCAAAGATAATTTATGTTTCTGGCTTCTGCTAAAAGTTTGTTTGCGTAAAATCTGCTTAAAGAAGTTAATTTGTTAAAAGTGACTAGGTCAGTTGACGTCAACAAGATTTGTACTAGGTTGTGTTTTCTCTTAAGTCTTAACTCAATTCATGAAAGTGATGTTGTTTGGATAACAATGGAGTTACTTAAAGTTTGCTCCCAAGTGTGTCTGAAAGACTAAAAAGCAGTTGTTTGCCAAAAGAACTTGTAGTTGCACCAAAAATGTGCATTTTACTTGAGAATAATAAAAATCCCGCCTTTACAGTCAAAAGCACTCTTGAAATCCAAACAACTGAACAGCCACTTTGAGGAAATTTCAGTGTGCCATTTTATCAAGTTAAGCCTTCAAATTTTTCTGTCTTCAGTACTTTGCAGATCGGGATATATTCTGTGCCGGCCGTGTAACTGAGGAGGATCTGCAGAGGGTGGCAGCTGCTTCAGGGGGGACAGTGCAGACAACTGTGAACAACATTATTGATGAGGTTTTTTCCCCATAAACAAATTTCCCAATTGAAATGGATACGCGTTCTAATATTTTCTAGAATATCTTTTTTTTTCTTCCTATATTTTACCGACTGCATTTTGTGTGGAGAAAGGTTCTTGGATCATGTGAGAGCTTTGAGGAGAAGCAAGTAGGAAATGAGCGGTTCAACATCTTCAGTGGATGCCCATCTGGCAAGACAGCCACCATTGTTCTTCGTGGTGGAGCAGATCAGGTAGACATTGTTGTACACTAAATCACTTATCACAATCAAATGTTTTATTGGATAGTTATTAAAAAAACATTTATTTTATGCTACTTGAGGTCTGGTTATTGGTGTTCATGCAGCTCATTCTTAGGTCCATATTCATAACTCCATACTTAAGCCCTAACAATATGAATTAAATTCCCTTGCACCAAATGTAATCTACAGTCAGTTTATTTTGGTAGTATATTATCCCTTTTAAGTAAGTCTATAATATGAAGCATGAATTTTAATATTTTTTTAAGTAATTTTATTAAAAAAATGTATTCTACGCTTGATTATTTTCTAAAGTTTTTCGAATTGCATTTTGTGATAATGTTGTGCTTGTACATTTATTACAGTAAATAACTCATGGTGGGTACATGAGTTATTTACTGTAATAAAAAATATGTGGGCAGTATAATTTGATTCGTTAAAATAATAATAGTACCCCCATCGCATGTCCCTATTTATTCTAGCACATTTTTTAAGAATTGTGGAAATATGTGGTTGAAATTTGTTTAGAGAAGAGAAAGAAGAGAAGATTGTCCAAAGTAATACTAAAACAGTCTTCAAAAAAATAGGACCATATGTTTGGTTTTCCTTAAATAGGATTAGTCATTCCATTTCTACGCCTAATTCAATTAATTAATCAACCTAATTAATTGCCCCTCCCTAGTTTTCCTGCATAACCAAATCAGTCCGTGGCTGCGGCAGCAGATTCCGGCGGCATCGGCGGCGGTGGTTTTCTGGCAGATCAGTATAGATCTTCTGGAAAGAAGTTTCCGGTGGCAGCCACCGCCGGTCTGGCAACCTTTGAGAAGCAGTGCTAAAGTCCTATGAGGGTATTTTGGCCCAATTACAATTAAAAAGTTCCATTTAAAGTATTTTAAACTACTAGGTCCTATTTGAGGACTTCTCCCAAGAAAGAGTTAAATGTCAACACATTTTCTTAAACGAAAAATGAGACAATTTAGAGACATGTAAAATGAAATAATGAAGTAAAAATGATAGAGGAAGTATTGGTAAAAAATACTAATAACAATAACAATCACCATCAGCACCTCAATCCTAACTAGTTCGGGCTGGTGCAATGAATCTATAGGGGCTAATTAATTGTATAAACTTAATAATTCTCTAACATAATCAGTTAATAGTCTAATGTTACTCCCTTGTTTGATCCTGTGATCCTAATTTTTTTTTTCTTGAATGATACTAGTTCATTGAAGAAGCTGAGAGAAGTTTGCATGATGCAATTATGATTGTTAGAAGAGCTATGAAAAACTCTACTGTTGTAGCTGGTGGAGGTGCAATAGATGTAAGATCTTAACACCTTTGTTTGCAATTAATCTGGTGGCAATGCTCTCAGTAACTGGATGCTCACAGCCTGACGTGAAATGTATCCTTGGGTGCAGATGGAGATTAGCCGATATCTAAGGCAACATGCACGCACAATAAAGGGGAAATCACAACTCTTTATAAACTCATATGCCAAAGCTCTTGAGGTACATCTATTTGATCCGTGCCTTGTAGTAGCTGAAGATGAATTTATAGGGACAAGCAGAGGTTGAGGCATTGTGTATTAAGTGTTATTAGTTATCATTTTCTGCTTGATTTTGTCATTTGTTTCTTATAATGTATTGATGGCTTCCAATCTTAAGTTAGACAACTCTCAAAGATTACATGTAGGGCACTGACACAGATATTATGCACTTCGATTCTTCAAAGCAGATTGAACAATGTGTAATTGGGGACAGTGATACTTCTGCTTTTATAAGTTTTCTGATTTAAATTGTGTTTGCTCAGGTTTTTAATTTGTTGTTTGTGTGTGCATAAAACATAAAAAATGAAAAATAAACAGGCTTGGGTTCTGACTGCAGATTATTCCACGCCAACTCTGTGACAATGCTGGTTTTGATGCAACTGATGTGCTGAACAAACTTAGACAAAAACATGCCCTCCAATCAGGTGAGCTTACTTTTTAGTTAAATTCACATTGATATATCCGCTTGTGAAGTCGTGTGCTGTATACAACTCCCTCCGTCCCACTGGACTTTGCCAATTTTCACTTTTTGTCTTGTCTAAAAATTTTTTGCCACTTCCTTTTAAAGTAATGAATTTGTGGCTCTGTTCATTTCTCTCTCCTCTGCACAAATCTCAACCACAGTTTTTACTTTTTACTATTCTAATTTTCCACCCAACATCAAGTTGTCAAAGTTGAGTGGGACGGAGCTAGTAAGATTTAGGGTACTTATTTTGAAAACAGTTTTCTTTCTCAAGTTAGTTTTTTCATTTTTTATATAGATTTGTATGTGGCCTTTCTTTTAACTTTAGATTTGTTGGTCATTTATGCTTTGAAACCTTGAAACAGGTGAGGGTGCACCTTATGGAGTGGACATCAATACTGGCGGAATAGCCGATTCCTTTGCTAATTTTGTATGGGAACCATCTGTTGTGAAGGTGCACTGGCTCAACAGTTCTTATTGCTTTCTTAGAAGTCCTTTATTCTTTTAAGTTACAACCTTGACATATATTTTCTTTTTGCCAGATAAATGCCATAAATGCAGCTACTGAAGCAGCTTGCCTTATTTTAAGTGTGGATGAAACAGTGAAGAACCCCAAGGTAATTTTTACTTTTATTTGTGTTTGGTATAACTTCCATGTTGAATTCCATCAATTTAATATGTGCTATCTCCCCGTCAAAAAAAGTCTTGCTTCTAAAGCCATTTTTCTCCCAAAAATGTCTCTTATTTAATGAAATGGGACCAATTTTTTCATTTAATTTTATATAAAAGAAGTTAGTGAGGAAAAACAAGTTCAGTACCCTAAACATAGTTAACCAATAAAATAAAATATATGGTTTGAGTCTGGCTTTTAAGAGTAATATCTTGGCAAAATTTAAAAGTTGTACTTTGATAAAAATCACTCAATTTAGGGGTGTGGAGGGAGTGCCATATTGTATGACATTTAACCTATGATTCCAATATGAAATAATGCATTAAGTTATTCTTCTGCCTTTGTTCACCGGATCTTAAATTTACTGCATTTTCTATTGTCCTATATGATTCAAAGTGAACTAAACTGAGAGGCTAATATTGACACCGGGCTATATATACACACATATGCATATTAATGAGTACAAATTTTGTACTTGTATATTGGTTCTTCATTTGGAAATATTATCAAGTAATCCCATCATTAATGTCTTTCTCTACTATGCAGTCCGAGAGTGCCCAAGGAGAAGCTGCTGGAGGTGCAATGGGTGGAAGAGGGCGTGGGTTTGCACCGCGTGGTCGTGGCATGAGGAGGCGATAGGGATTGTCCGGTTTTGAGTCATTTCTTGTGTCAACTAATTTTCTTAGTTACCTCCACCCCCACCTAATCATCTACCAATTCCGCTGGAATTTCCATTTTGAGAATCAAGAAAAGTTGAAGGAGAACGGAAACGGAGATGATGTTTTTGAGTTGGTTCAATTGATGGTGTGATTGTATGTCTGTTGGGGAAAGTGACCCTTAGTGGCACCCTGTTTGATTTTTTCTCGTTTGGATCAGAATATTGGATATGATGTGCAGAAATGTATTTTCACATTGTCTTGCCCGTTCTAGGTTCTTTTATTGGACGTGAAATGAGTCTCTTTAAGAAATGGCGCAAAAGTTGAAGGGAAACAAAAACTTGGATATGATGTGCAGAATCAATTAATTACTTACTCGAGATCGAGAACCAGCCAACTAGTCCTGTAATGGGATAGGGTCAGCCGGTCAGGATGTGCGTATGATTGAGGATGATATCGATATAGAAGATTTGCAAATAAAAATCTCATAGTTAATTGTCATTTAAGATAACTATCATTCACTCGACCTGACATTAGATTAGATATATAGTAAACAAGCTGGCTCAATTCATGGACTCCCTTACCACAAAACACTGACAGGCTATCAAACTTGTTTAACGTTACCTTTAAGGCACTTTACATTTCAGTGTATTCATCTCGGCAAAATCACCTCCTCTCTTCATGCCTCGTTGATGCTGATTGGGCTGGTGATTATTAGGGCCGGCCCGGTCGCACAGGGCCCAAAAATCTGGAAATACAGAGAGAACAGAACCTGAGAATGGATGAAACTTACGGAAGACCGTCAGTCGTCAGACCGGGAGAAAAAGGGCCTCTCGAATCTAAAACAACTGGAAGCATGGAATGAGTGCCAACGAGTCGATGACCGCCACCAGCCCGCGCTAGCCCACCACAACCAGCCTGACTCCAAAACCACGACTACACCTTCCGCACATCGCCCTACGTCCCTACCCCGCTAGTCGCTAGTCCGCACACCGGCACACACTACACAACTAATTGAGTAACTGAGCTAAGCACATATGGACGTTTATGTATGTTTTTTTTATTTCTCTGAATTGCAAATTACTGAAATTAATTTCGTTTGTTTCCAAGTTACCTTGTGCTCCTGTTGTTATTTGTTAATCAGTTTATTTATTGCCATTGGTATTGAATTGAATCAGTTAATAATAAGTGTGTTTAACCATTAAGATTTAAGAAATTGATAAATTATAATTATTTCATGATTTCATCCAATATTTAAATTGAATTTTAAATCAAAATTTTAAAGCATGTACATGACAAGGGGAATTTTTTTGGTAATATAATTATGTTTTCAAAGAAATACCGATCCGGTCATGAATTGGAGTTGATATCAATAGAATTTGAAACACTACAACAGATTGACTTTGTAAGTACGCTAGAAGAATGTCTCTTTTTATACATAACTACTTTTATTTTATTATTATATATATTAGTAACTTGCAATTTAACACAAATTACTTGTGTTGGAACTTGGAAAAAAGGCCCAAATTTTTCTGCTGCACATGGTCCTCATATTCTCAGGACCGACCTTGGTGATTATGATACCTGTTTTTTCTACCTCGACATATGTTGTGTTTCTTGGTGCTACTCCTTTTAGTTACAGTTAAAAAAACATTGCACGATCTTCTATTAAAGCGGAATATAGGGTCATTGCCTCAGTTTCTGTAGAACTCACCCTCTTATAACTTTCCGAACTACACTACCCTCTTCATACGGCTCCTACAGTTTTTTGTGATAATGTGAGCACTACATATGTCTGTGCTAATCCCATCTTCCATTTTCATATGAAGCACATTGCTATAGACTTTCACTTTGTTAGTGAGAAAATCCGCAATGGTCATCATCGTGTCACCCATGTTCACATCAAGGTGATTCTCTTACAAGGTCGTTAGCATGGAAGCTCTTCCAGACTTATCGCTCCAAGCTCGGCATCGTGTCAAGAACGACTTGCTTGCGGGGTGTGTGGTAAAATATACTGTAGCTATCATGCTACATTCATTTCATTGTACTTTATCTAAACACTTATAGTTACTGCGTATTATTTACTTACTATCAGACTAATACTCCGTATTTCGGATCACTAATGGCCTGCACTTGTCACTTCAACCTTACCTGCCTGCGTAATTGTATGTATAAAACATAAGCCTCACATATATAAAATTACTTTTGACCGTGCACAACTTTTTTGATGTACATATAAGAGCATCTTCAAAGCAAAAGTATTAACGGTGCACACGTGACAGGAGAGACATAGACATAAAAAATTAATTAATAGAAAGTCATTGACATCTTTCCAATGTCAAGCACACTATCTAGATCTAGGCACTACTTGACATTGTCAACAATAATATCAAAATTTGATTACGGCGCGGAAAGAATGCCAACATTTTTCTATTAATTAGTTATGTATCCATATCTCTCCTACCACATTTGCACCGTTCACACATTTTTTATGTACATATAAGAGCATCTTCAAAGCAAAAGTATTAACAGTGTACACGTGACAGGAGAGGCATAGACATAAAAAATTAATTAATAGAAAGTCATTGACATTATTTCCAATGTCAAGCACACTATCTAGATCTAGGCACTACTTGACATTGTCAACAATAATATCAAAATTTGATTATGGCGCGGAAAGAATGCCAACATTTTTCTATTAATTAGTTATGTATCCATATCTCTCCTACCACATTTGCACCGTTCACATTATGCTCTTAAGCCTCTAAAACATTATGGATTAGTTAATTCGCAGTTTTCACTCACCAAAAGTGGAATAAATAAAAAAAAAAATAAAGTTTCTAGAGAACTAAATAAACTCCTATGCAGATATATTTGTATAACTAATAATAGGCTTTCTGTATATGATTCCAAATATGTGTCTACTGTGTATGATTACCAAAAAACGAATTTGTCCCACTATTATGATTTTGATTGTTGGTATAATCGGTTTCTTTAGTGAATCACTTTCGCGATTTGGATCACTCGCAAGTAGCCTGCACGGGTATTTAAATGTAAATAAATTGTGGACAAATGCTGTAAGTTGGATTATTTTGTAATAATGATTGGTTTATTGATAGATAAAAGAGGATTTTTATACGTAGAGTATGAGAAACGAATTACGTAGTATTAAAACAAGTTTTGAAATTCTAAAAATAGAACCATTTTTCTTCCCGAAATAGCAGTCATATTTTTAAAGTGTAAAACCTATTTATTCATATTTTGGGAATTCCCCCCTTCTACACTAGAAAGGTGAGGAGTTCATATCCATTCATAATTAAGACATACACAAGGGGATATTTAAGCTTGATTGAGATGATTTTATTTTATTCTGGTCTGAATTGGATCTAATGTATTCAGTGGCAGATTTGGGAATTAAGTTTTGGGTGTTCAAAACCTTTTTACAATTATAAATTTAAAGAGTGATAAATAATTATACCAAATTTACACATATATACCTACATATTTTTCAAACTTTTGGGTATTCATGTGAATACTTTTGAACATGAGTGGTTCTGCCACTGAATGTGTTTAAGGCCCCGTTTACTTTCGATAGCTTAATAGCAACCGTGACTTAATCATTTAGCTATATAGTGTTGTTTAGTTAGGACTTTATATCAAACAGGACTTATTCGCTAAGACGTTTTATAACTTATTCGCTCAGCTACGTTTTGACACTCTTTCGCATTCAGACGTATGCCTATGTATGGACGGACATCTTTAACCCCCAACTTCTTTCAAATATTTCATCGCATAGCGTTAAACCTACAGAAATCGCCTACAGGAGAAACTCGCAAGAGCTATCAGGAGAGCAGCAACGAAGAGGAATCTCATCCCCGCCTTCTTCATCTTCGTATTTCCTCTGACTATACTTTTTGTTTTCTCTTCGATGGCAGAATTTCTCCCTATTCTTGATCTTCACTTTCCAAACAATCTGATTTCATTTATTTTCAACTCTCAGATTATGTGTTCGAGTTTGTTTTATTAGACTCCCGTGTAGCATAGTTTGACTTGTTCTTGGGTTTGAGCCTTCGTCAAAATCGATATCTTTCATATCTATCTTGACTCTTAATAGAAAAATACATCGATGCTTTCATTAATAATAGGAGAGGAAAGCTGCGAAAGTTATAATTTTGATAGCAAAGGTCCTTTTTATTGTTTATCCCAATTTGAGGGAGATTGTATCTTTAAACAATGTAAGAAATTGCAGGCTTTTGAAGCCATGATTTTATTTTACTTGTTTGTATCATTCAGAACATATAAACTAAACAAACAATACATGTTCATCATTGGTTACTGATAGAAGGGTAAAATGGTAACTTAATATAATTCAGACAACACATTCATCACGCATAGTAAACAACTTATTATCCTAGTGTCACTTAATCCAGACAGATGTCTTAATACGGACAGACGTCTTAATCCAGACAGGACTTAATGAAAATAAAAGTAAACAACCCCTAAGTCTTATTTGGTTAGGGATTGAAATCGGTTCAATAAAAAACGTCATGAACCCTCACTCACACATTGCAATAGACCAGGAAACGAAATTGCATCATTTTTATATGTTAAACACCACCTTTAACGGCTTTAAGGCATATATTTGTTGTTTTATACTCCGTATAACATTTTCTTTTTGGGAATCATTTGCAACTTTGGTCAAGGAAAATAAGTTGTGAATTGTGATGATTTTTGTAATTGAGATCCCAAGTGAACAGATGCCGAGCTTAAATTTATAAAGTTTTGTCTCAAACAAGTTTATTTTTCTTACAATTATAGCTTAACTTTAACATAAGAAACTTCCAATCAGTATTGGGAGGCCTCGGGAATGTTTTTTTAATTCCATGCCCTATTTGAAAAAACGATTTTTATATTTCTATATCTTGTACCTAAAATGACCTCTTTTTTGGCAGAAGTTAGAAAGTCCCATGAGAAGACTGTTCACTAGTTTTTCACCTTTTCTTGTCGAAAGGTTGTTTACTCTAGGAACAAATATTATTCAATTGAAGAAGAAGCGGGGGTAAATCGTTTGACTAATAAACGAATAATGAAAGTAAATCATACAACAGGAGGGGTAAACAGAGACGGAGAGACCTGTAAACACTAAGGACAACCGAACTAGTAAACACAAATACTGTTAAAAGAATTTACTCTAAATATCAGTCGAACAATATCAAAAATTAAATCCAGGACTACACACTTTAAATTCTCATAAGACAAGTTACAATTATTCATTTTGACCTCTACTAATGAAATCATCCCCTTCTCCTAATCCCCTTTTCCATAGTTTTTCATTTTTGAGATATGTCTCCCCCTCGCCTCTTTCAATAGGAATACCCAGCACACGGAGTAAAATGAATGAAACACATGGTGGGCGTTGGAGACATGCTATACGTGGCTGGCGAAGGATAATCAACATTTTGGCAACACCAACCTAAAAAATTCCTCCTCATCCTCCTTTTATTTATAATTCAAAAGAATACAATTAGTTTTTCTGTCGATCTATGTGACATTTTTCTGCCGATCAAGATTACTTTTTTATAGATCAAGAGACATCATTGTTTGATGATAACTATTTTGGTTTGACTATGAACAATATGACTTGGTGATGACATTATAACTTTATAATGCCATAACGATGACATAACTCTTGAGTCTCGTTTTTTACTTATTTTTGTTTTACATTTATAAGAACCTTTCAGTACATTGTAAAAATCTACACCGGGTAAGAGTATATTTTTGAAATCATAGAACCCCGTCAATGGGTTCTGACTGCTCTCCGAATTAAGTTGGTCACTTCTTTCTCTAAACTGTGTGTAAACTTCATAAAAAACTGTCATAAAGATCCTTTGGGTACAAAATCGATTTCAAGTCTCCCAACATAGTCTCGACTTGTCATCTCAATTTTGTCAGTTGGTGTTGTAAATTTTGTACTCATAGTCTCGATATTGGAAAAATATAGGGTGCACACAACACCAACATGGCTGTCTGTGTATTACAAATGTTAATTAATGAGGAAGTTCGCCAACTTGAGACAAACGCACCTCCTAAACACGCCACTGGTGAACATACCCTTGTCACTGCTGCACCGGAAGTTCTGAAGATATGCAAAGCTTTGAGTCGGCCCCCCCACTTATAATGGTATCCCCTTTCCACCAGTCAGCGCATAATACCTGTGTTGAATTTAATTTAAAAAAGGTAGTCATATATATTCTAATATATCTCTATGTGAAATTCAGGAAAATAATAATCATTTTTCCACTTTTGTTCCCTTTCCCTGGAATCTTCAAGATCCAAACAAACCCTGAAGGGAGTAGCTAAAGGAATTTACCTTATCCTTGTGTGAGTCGATGACAGCAAGTGGCCACTGCAACACAGAATGTCGTAGGAAGACTTGTGAGAGCTCAAACAAAAGCAGATACACATAATCAATAATTGAAGAGGAAAACATGATTTGTTACCGCTGTTCTCAAATCCCATAGCATAACCTTTCCATCATAAGATGCAGAAACCAAGAGATACCACGATTTGCCATGCCATTTGCAGGCAGAAATCCAGGAACTGTGTGATGAGAACTGGAAGATAGGGGCCAGTGAATCTACTCAGAAAAAGAAATTCATGTTAGAAAACATCTTCTAAACTGCTTACTTAAAGCCATGTTTGGATCCCAAAAAATGACAGGGAGAACAAGATAAGTTCACGGAAAAATGTTTCATGTTTGTCATTGCGAATGAATTGTGAAGAAAAACAAATTGAGTAAATCTTTTTAAATCTTGATCTTCATAAACAAAAAATGAGTTTGAACAACTATCTATCATTGCCAAGGAAAATGCGAAGAAAAATAAAATTTGTTCGAACTTTTAAATCTCAATCTTCATATACTAAAATGAGTTTTATCGAATTTGAGCCAATTTCTTATTTAACCGAAATTTATTTCATTCCTATCTTCCTTAACATTCTTTCGGTTCCATAGTAACCCAATTTACCAAATTAATATGCTCCTCCATGCAAAGATAGAGTAGTGATTGCACATAGACACACCTGGCTTTCGAGGATCCCATATCCTTAAAATAGGATCAGAACATCCCGCTGCAATAAGGGAAGAACTTTCACCTCCAACATCAAGACAGTTAAATGCTCTACCACAAGACTGCAAAGAGTAGAACATGGTTACTACAACCTGCAATCGTAATAATATAAAATGTGCACTGGAAGTAAACTGAATTCCAGTATGAGTTAACATTAAGGATTAGAATGGGTCTGGTTTCGCTTGAACTGCCCTACATTCACAATCGAACCCACCTTAACGAGACATTTTCAAGATCCAATCCCCACCGACTGTTGGGTGGGTACAAGCCTTGGTGTCCACCCCGTTATTCAAAATTAATTTTATGAATCAATTCATTTTATATATATTCACTTGAGGACATGTTACATTTGAACCTTGACGCACACTCAAACGTATAGTAAAAAAAATGAATTTAGCATTTTTAGTATGGAGTGTTTTTTTATATTCATAAAAAAATATGGATTATTATTATTTTAATGCTGAAATTAAATTAACTAGTGAGTGCATACACATTCGTGTATATATACACACACATATACATATACACTCGACACATTGCAATAAAGTATTCAATAAACATGTGGGTCAGGTCACATGGAGCTTTAACCCAAACCCAGCCATTCATTCAACATGGTAGAAGCGTATTGTTATAATGTGAGCTTGGTGTGCAAAATATCATTCATTCATTATCTGATAAAGAATATCCCATAGCAACTGTTTAGTTTCCTGATTTCTTCCTATAACGTTCTATTTTATCCCATGGCATTCATGCCACTTACCATGTTCAGTGTATCTTTTCCTGTCTCAACATCCCAACTTCTAATAGAACGATCCCAGGATGCTGAATAGATTGTGTCATTCCGTGGCCATATCACAGAGGATATGTTTTGTGTATGTCCAACAAGTGTAGATGCTGCCTCCCCCTGATTCAAATGGAAAAAAGAGTTTATAACCCACACTTGCCTGGTTTAGAACTACTATATTGCATTGAATTGTAGCATTCAAGAGACAGCATATTTCTAGCTGTTCATGGGGAATTTAATGGATAAAACAAAGATTATAATGTATATATGCTACCATAGTGTGGATCCCACCTTGCTATCGAAATCTTCGCAAGAAAGGAAAAATTCAGAATCATATTTCTAAAAGAAAAGAGTACATTCCAAAACTCACCTCTATTTGAGGATCGTTTTCTTTTTCCCCCTTTTTTCTTTTTTTGACAGATACGGTATCACAAAATTCATCCACATCGTTTGCCTGCCATAGATTTATCATGCAGTCCCAAGAACCTGAACACACCTAGAAAACAATGTTTAAAATTTTTAGTAAACAATACTGCCTCTGTATTTTAAATATTGCTACGTATGGTTTTGGCACATTATTTACGAAGGAAAGTAGTAAAAGTCATGAATAGTGTAGAAAAAGTATGAGAGAAGGTGTAAAAGTATGAAAGAGAAAATAAAAAGTAGAAAAATCAAGGGTAATTGAATACTTTTAAAGGGAAAACTTACCAAAAGGGGAAAGTGCAGCAAACTGTTAAATACATCCCAAAAACAGAAAGTGTAGCAATCTTTAAAATACGGAGGGAGTATATTGGAACTTTAACTCAATTTATAAGGAAAACAAACCCATAAAAACAAAATGAATACACAAACCATTTCTCCAGCGGGATGTGCTGCTAGGGTCTGGACAGAAGCATTATGACGTAACACCTTACAGGCTCTAATCCTCGTTGGGTTTTCCAGGAACTCATCTACATCAACCTTCCAAGCGTAAACAAAAACTGTCAAGAGACATAGAAATAAAAACAAAAAATTTAAAACCAAATGCATTTAATTTTATTACCTTCCACAACATGACTGTTCTATCTTTTGAACCTGTTGCTACCAGCTCATCAGCATCACTTACAAAGCCTGGTAAGAATAATCATATTTGGATTTCAGAAAGCAGGAAAATAAACAAATAGGAAGGAGACAAGGCACATTATAATTGGAAACAGAGATCTGAAGCACTATCACATTCAGGTGGGTATAATGGTATATTATACATTCGATGAACCTTCAGTCTGACATAGTTACACCAGGCATACACAAATGAGCATTCTTTAAAAAGCAATGGATCAAGTAGAGCAATCGTCATACAATAGGCAGTGTTTAGACGAAAAGGATACATAATAAAAAATGAATTAACACACGAAGACAATGAAATGAGCATTCTCTTGGAGCAAAATGAGCGACTGGAAAGAAAATACAAAAACACCACTAGATGTCTAGATATGCATACTGCATACACCCGAAGTAAGATATAATTTGTGTATTCCCACAAAAATGATTGTTGGCTATTAGTTCATTAAATGCAGAACCCAGCGCTAGAGAGCATAAAAATTATTGTCATGTAGCAGTCATATAGCATTAGGGTAAATGGACCAATTAATTCTATACTCAGCACTCTAAATAAATAAATAAAATAAAACCTTAGATGTATGAACAAGTCTTGTGTCAAATTTTATCACATCTGATATTTACCCTTCCATTATTGAATAGACATTGAAAAGAGAGAAGTAGAAAAAAGAAAAGTGGGAAAGAAAAGATGATTTGGTCTTGCTTGGTTGGAGAGAAAGAAAGGGAAGAAAGAGAGTTTTAGTCTGTGAAGAGAGAAAAATGGGGGTGATAGGGCATAAAACAACAACCAGAACCTTATTATTTTGAGTAAGGATAGAAATACATTAAAAGTGGACACTATAGATACATATCTTTTTACAACAAACTCATCAGGTGATGATCCCATGTCAAACTTTTCACGGCCCAATGAATGTGTGCTGCATGAGAATGTCTACCTAAATGTCCATTTTGAGGAATCTCTAGCATTACTCTATTAATTTTATAATTTTATGTTATCCTACAACATATACCTACACGAAAGGAATATAATAATTATACATGTGTGCACTAAAGAACTTTTTTTCTCTTCACATTTCTATCAAACCAAGCTAGGGAGGGGTGAAGAAAGAAAACTTAACTTTTCTATGTCTTCTCCTTTTTCTCAATCCAAGCACTATTAATCAACTCATTTCCTCTTCTCAAGTAATTCTTTCCGTCATACTTCTTTATTTATCCAAACAAATCATGAAGAGTGCAATAAAAAAATCATGAAATCAATAGCAATCATCTCCACAAGCCATATGACCATACCTTTGGGCTTGACAACACAAACAGCTGTAACTGCACTTGCGTGCCCCTCCAATATGTGACTACAAGATCCTGCAGCTTTCCATAACCTGGAAATGGTTATTAAAAATCACATTCATCTTGTTTAGGAACTAGATTCCAAAAGTGCTACTAGTGCAATAGGAAAATATGAATAAAAGTAGAGAAAAACTTAGTGATACAAAGTCCCTACAAAATTACCTTCCAAGACCATCATAACAACCTGTCAAAACGAACCTGTAAAATGACAAACAAGAAAATAAATGCCGAATAAGTGAGTGTTATATCAGACAGACGCTTCAAAATAACTTACATTTAACATCATGATATTATAGATCTAAAAAAATAACAACCAATGACAAATTTTTTCAGAGTAAATGTACAGGACAAGTCATACAGAGTTACAAGCATGCGGAATCCGTTTTAACTTGTAGGAAAAATAATGCAGGGGAGATTTGTCTTACTTGGGGTTTGAACCATCAACAGCACTGACCCAATCATCATGTAAGGAAGGTTCTTCTTCTCTCCTTGGGACCACCGCCTTAATGTATTCAATATCTAGTATCTTCTCCTGCAATAAAAAAAACCACTAATTATTAGCCCAACAGAGGATCTGTAGATAGATGTTAGAACCTTTTGAAAATTAAAGATGTTCAAACCACGAACAATAGAATTGCAAAGTGTCACTTGAAAGCTTGTTGTTTGTAATGAAGTTATAAAACTTAAATTGCTATGAGCTTGCACACACTCATATATATAAATTAATGGATTGACATTTGACTATATAGAAGTTCAAAGAGAAAATTCCCTAAATAGGAGTAAAACATAGCATAGTTTCTCAAATAGGAATGTCGTTGTATTCTTCCTAACATAGGACTCACTCACTCCTACTTTGGGAAGTTTTTATTGTTTTATTCTTTTAACAGAGCAAAATTATTCCTATTTTAAGAAGAAAACATTTTAGTCCATTTTAGAACTTTCTCTATGCTTTACTCTTATCTTGAGCAATTTCTTAAGGCTTTTTTCGATTAAGGCAGGTGAAACCATATATGATGATAAACTCACAGCAGAAATGTTCTTTGCAAGGAGGAACTCCTCGAGTGACATCCTGATGAATTCTCCACCGATGATGAAATCAAAAGGCTCAGATTTCCAATCATCATTCCCTAATGATAAATTGGCAAACACGCTCAGGTATAAAGAGTGAATAGCTAGCTATACAGTACAAAATAGTTGCTACAAAAATATAAACTTTAGCAGCTACAATGCATGATATAAGCAACCAAACCAAATGTAATGAGCATTCCAGTGAATGTAGAAATGGAGGTTGAAAAAATAAATCTAAAATGAATATTTGATGAGTACCAGCTTTAAGAAGGTTGTTGACAATGGCAGAAAGGCCCAAACGGGTGAGATTGGATGGAATTGTTATGGAACTGGGCGGTGCCTTGAATGGAGGCTTCAACTTCGTTACGAACCGGACCTGTACACGCTTTGCTGCCTCTTCAGCCTCCATATCCATGCTCGTTCTCTATAGCAGACGGTATCTCTATAAATATAAAGGCTGGACCGCCTCCTGACAATGATGAAGTCACTGTGACACGTGCTCACAGTTAATTTGCAGAATTTTGGCTCTCCGGCATACTAAGGCAGCACTGCCGGCGTATTGGTTGGTCATTAAATTACAGCTTATTACAACTCCTAAAGAAGACATTTACGAACAAACGAAACTAGAAGGCAGTTAGTAATAATGGACTAACCTCGGTCGGGATATTAGAGGAACGGCGTGGTGTAGACGGCGTCCGAGCCCAGGGAAAGAGGAGCTGGAAACGCAGAGAGTACTCACTATACCAGTCGGATGAATTGGTACAAAGAAGAGAAACTGTATAAATACTTTGGGCATGTTATTTTCTAATTTGACTGGATCAAACGCTTTGGCCCAATAACTTAAAATAATTTAATTTGGCAGGTTATATGTTGTTCTCTTCCTTGTGTCATTTAAAAAAATTGCCAAACAAAAAAATTGTCAACTTTATTTTTGGTATTGCAACCAATTTTGTAACTTTCCCTTTTAATTACAAAAACTTAAGTATACAATTTTTATTTTATAAGTTCTGGTGCTAATCAAACTTGGCCAAGTTTCAAGGGAATAGGATGAAATGTTTTAATATTCACTTGGTAACATTGAAACTATTGAAACTGATGAAATTCTAGTTGAACCACAATTTTTTTAAACTACAAATTATTTTAATATTACCATACGTAGTATGTCACGTTCTTAAAATGACATGTTTATTTTCTAAATGACATGTATTGACAGTTCGAACCTGACATACTTTCACATCGGTAAATGTCATGTTTTTATGCAAAAATGTCATTATAATTTTGACATGTCATATGTTTATCAAAATTGTGATTTGGCTGGAGGAGGAGGATGCCACAGAGTTGGATGGCGCGATGACCTCACCGGAGGGTAGTGGTGACGATATCGTTCGCAAATACCGGTGTGGTCTCATTGGACAGTGGTGGTGGCGGTCTCACAGAAGAGTATCAATGGCTATTGTTCGAGGGTGGCTGTTGTCTCACTAGAGGGCAGCAGCTGGATGTCGTGGTCTAATCAGAGGGTGGCGACGAAGCTATAGTTGGATGACGATAACACACAGAGGCTATTGTACCTCACTAGTGTACATCGCAGCAGTAGCCTTAGGCTAACCGCAGCCCTATTTCGTCAATAAATCAAATTTCCCATCAGTTTATACGTATTCAGTCAGTCAAATCACTTTTAAATGCAAATCCAACACTGTCAATATATTCAGTTAACAATATTTTTCCTAATTAAAACCTTGCTTTCATTGTTAGACATTAATTTTTTCTCAACTTTTTTTTGCAAATAATTATGATTTTAAAAGTAAAACATTTTGATGTAAAAATAAATAAATTTGAAGTTTAATGTTTTTTGTTAATTTATACCTATTTTCTAAATAAATAACTCAAAGATGTAAAAAAAAAAATACCCATCAAGTCTTAATTTTAGAAATTTAACAAAAATATTGAACATAAAAATCTCCAATTGATAAAAACACATATTTTATTTTTTAAATTATATATATATAATATTGGTGTCATATGAAAGATAATAAAAAATTATGAATATTGATATAATTTTTATAAAAATGGATTACAACTTTACAAGTAAAAAAGTTATAATAGATTAAAGATTTTTGGGTTTTTTTTTTTAATATTCCTAGCCCACATTGCTAGAGAATCACGAGCTTAGTACTCCCTTCGTCCCATAAAATAGTTCCCACTAGGATTTGGACCGGAGTTTAAGAAAGTGAGAATAAAGTGGAAATGTATGGTTGTGGTTGAGTAAGGAAAAAGTAAATGAATGGTAGCCACACAAAACTTTCCAAAAAGAGAAATGGAAACTATTGTTTGGGACAGCCCAAAAAGGAAACTGGGAACTATTTTACGGGACGGAGAGAGTAATTTGTTCGTGTAGTGGCCTCTCTCTGTGAATGTGCCTCTCAATTCCTACTCCATCCGTGCTATCTAGCACAATATGACACCCATAAACACATGGTTTGTAGCAAAAATGAGAGTCAAAATCTCAAAATTAGCTTTTCACCCATAGGGTTGTGGGCAGCCTTATAGTGTAATGCAGCAGTATGGTTTAATTATTCATTATTTATCAAGACTAATTTTGTCAAATCATTGCACTTGTAGTCCTATCAAATTTGGGAGTCATACGTCTACGCTTTCTTACTTAATTTTTAGTCCTATTTAGGTAAATCATTTTTTTAGATATTAATTTGAACCCAACATATCATTAAATTAGAGAAAATTGTCTAAGATAAGATTAAAATACAATTTTCTTGCAAAAATAGGACTAAGTCACCAATTTAGTAAACATAATTTATTGATTTTTAAGTAATGTAATTTTTTTCTTAACAATCCCTCTAATTTCTTCTATAGTTTCCGGTATTCTTTTCTTCCCTAACATTTTTCCTGTTCGAATTTTTGGGATATAGTTTACGAGCTATATCCCAACCAAGTTTGCAATTTAAAATGTACAATGAATGATTGACTGAAAAATTAATTTATCAATAACAACTTCTAATTTATCATGGATGGTTTAAAAAGACAACTATAGTTTTAATTTAATGACTATAATATATGTTGTTGAGGTTTATTCCCGAAGATCCGAAAGCCCAACACAAGCCTTGGATATTGTAGGGATATTGGGTAGGGTTGAAATGTGTATAAAATATAAAATAGTGAACTAATATTCAACTCAAGAACTTACTTATATTCTGTATTTAAGCAATTACACTGAAACTACCTGAACGGTAGATGAATATGAGATTACAAGGATAAGAGATGTAAATCTATTGCTAAGCTCTGAGTATTAAAATGCTAACCCTTTACAATGATCTAAACATGGATATTTATACTAAGATGGGGATGGGTAAGGTGGACACGTGGTCGAATCTGGTAGGCTATCACCTCTGCCATGTAAGCACTCATGCCCCCACTTGCAGCTGTCATGATCCAGCATTAAATGCGGCCTCCACTTGCTGACTGCCCGTTCAGGCAAGGTGTTCGGTGTGTGGGACCCCGCCATAGGTGATAATTTCTACCTGAAGTATCCCGAACGCCGATCGATATTTGGGCCTTGATACCTTGGCATAATCGTTTCCCAGAATGTTCCAAGTATAAGTTTTATCCCGAATGCCGTTCGGGAGTTCTTTGGGCTTGCTGCTTCTTCCCGGATTTGGGCCTAGGGATATTGGGCCTGGACCCAATATCCCAACACTAGTCCCCCACTTCCTATGTCTCGAACGGTAGTGAGTGCATGAGGAAGTAGAAGATAATTGCCCGAATGCCGTTCAGGTGGAAATCGAATGGCATTCCGCTGGTTCCTGAGGTATATTTTGACGGTTATTTGCAACTGTCGTTTCACTACTCCGATAACAGCCATGATTTCTTGAGAAGGGTTCTCCGCGTGACACGTGTATCCGTCATCATTACAGAAAACGTGTCCTCTTCTGATTGGGTGATGAATCGGCGTGACAGAGTATAAGTAGGCTCTCCTGGTTTTGATTCTGGGTTTCGAAACTTTGCATCTCCGGCTTATCATTCATCCTTCTCTCTAGAGCTATTCCTTAGTTCTCGCTCAGGTACTTTCTGGCCTTTGTTTTTCTTCTATCCTCCTTGTTCGATCGGTATGGCAACCCGTCTTCGTTCCTCCGAGTGTTCTACCTCAAACGTTGATCTCCCTGAGAATACTCCTAGCCTGGCACTGGAGGTCACTCCTATCCCGGCGGAGGTCCCCCACGACGATGCCTCTTCATCCGGAACTTATCCCGATGGTACCAAATCCGGGGATGAAATGGAGGCCGTGGAAGCCGGTCCCCCTAGCGGCGTTTCTTGCCATAAGCTTGACCTAGCCCTAATTAGGCTGATGCGTCAAAAACTTACGGCCCAAAATAGGGCCCAAATCCAGATGATGATCCCGGACTCGGTGGATTTCCGACTCCAGGCCGGGCTTCACCCAATGCGTCATTTCCCTGGGATGGTAGTGGTCCACTTTGACTCAATTAAGGCCGGTCTTAGGTTTCCACTTCACCCGTTTTTTGTCTCTTTCTTAAATTTTTACAATGTAGTACCAGCTCAGATAATGCCGAACTCCTACCGGTCGATAGCTGGTTTCATTTGTCGTTGTCACAGTGTCAAGGTCATACCCACTCTAGAGCTTTTCCATTATTTCTTTTCGGTTATCCCCCAGCAGTCCCACGGCTTTCTGGTGGTAAGCTCCCGACCAGGACACATTTTGTTCTGTGAGGCTCCTTCTTCTATTAAGGGTTGGAAGGATAGGTTTTTCTTTGTCTCTGTCCCGAACGGTTTGATTCCTAGGAAGTGGAACGCATTCCCTCCTAAATCCCCCGAGCCATTTATCTCCGAGGAGCTTAGCAAAGATGTCATCGCTGTAGAGGCAGGAGGCTGCTTCAAAATCATGTCTTATCTGACTCCCGAACGGCTAATTAAGGCCGGGATAGGTACTGCCCGTATTCCTGGACTTACTTGACTGAAAACCAAGTACCATGGCCCGGGTGGTCCTTCCCGTGTGATACAATTTTTTAATCCACGTGTGAACCGCTCGGTACTAATTTGTTCCTTGTTATCTTTTCAGCTCCAAAGCAAGGCGAAACTTCAGATTCCGAAGGAGCCAATCCCGGACAATCAGCAATGGATGACAGCAGGCTTTTCACTGTTGGATTTGATGATGAGCCACCAACCTCTCCTCCCAAGCAGCAGAGGAAGACAAAGAGGAAGAGGTTGAGGAAGGCCGATCAGGGGACATCCTCCCGATCCGCCCCCCTCCTCCCCGAACAGCCTGAACCTGTTCGGGATGTAGAACCTGTGCAGCAGGTTGCTCCTGATCAGCAAACTCATGCTGATACGCTGATGGATCAGCTTTTTTCTGACCAGCAGTCCCACCATTTTTCTGCTGAGGAGGTGGCTGCCCATCAGGCTGACTTGGCTAGTCAGTTCGAGCGGATCTCCCTCTACGATCCTGCTCATGAGATGTTGGAGCGGGGTGGCTGTCCGGCGAGCCAGATCTGGTCCACATCAGGATTTCTCAATGGCCACAATCTTCCCCCGATACCGGTGGAGGAGGCCGAGGAGTGTATTGCTCTGACTGTCCTGAAGGTAGTCCATTATCTTGTGCTCATAATTCACTCTTTCCTTTTCTTTGTTCGATAATTTATCATGTGCTTATATTTTACTTTCTGATCATTAGGCGGGAATATACAGCCTGAAACTCAGAGAGGCCAGGCAGGCAAAGGAACAAAGCCTGCTGATGGCCAAGGAAACAGCTGAGCAGGCGGTGGAAGCTGAAC